TGAACGGTAGGTCTTGGTAAGATAAACAAGGGGCGGGGTTGTGATGAGATTTGAGCCCAAGGATTGGAACGGTAGTTTTTTTGGTAAGACAAATAGATGACGTGAGAACAAACTGCGTTTCCCTGGGATAGAAACAACAAACCTGAGCTTCAGTGTTTTCTTTGTCTGCGTCTGTCTTGTCCTTCATGGCTTTCCCCCCGCCGTCGACCGATAACGTCTGCGATCGACACGAGTCCCGAGGTTCAGTCTGCAAGGACACAACGGCATTGAGGGGGCGGGAGTTGTGCAGCGTGATGGGAATTCGAATATATTGATTGGCACGATGATGGTCCCTGGAAAGATCAATAGGTTCGGCGGGAATCTGAATGCAGTCTGGAAGTGGCGCGGCTCCCCCTTTACGCTAAGTCCACCAAAGAGAGCAAGGTAGCAGTGTTGCTGTTAGTATACAATTGAATCTTGACCAGGGTCTTCAGGGATTGCTACGTGTAATCCTCACAACATTTGGCGTCGTCGGCAGGAAGGGTTGCTGGCGAGGTCTGAATTCGTTAGTTAGGTGAAGCTTTGCAGAAAGTTCATCAACTCTTGCGACCCAACTCCCCCTCCCCACCAGGACATAGTTCTCGCCTATCGGCTTTGGGTGCAACACATAAAGTCTTCGGATCGTGGTACCGTGTTATAATTTAACAAGCCAACCCTTCCCACACATCAATCAATCAAAATCTGTCGACTTCTACCCGGTCGTCTGAACGTTGTCAAACGTGTCAGAAACTTGGTCAGAATTGACCATTTCGAACCTTGCTTGTCCTCTCCTATGGAAATGGTTGGGCCCTTCATGCAGTTTGTTCACAAACGGGTCAACCGTCGTGGTGCTGCAGAACTGGGGCGTCGTCCTTAGAGACGGGAGACCAAATAATATCCATGTCTCGGTGCATCAGAAGAGAGAGGCATTTGGCGAAACGGCGGCAGTTGGGAGACCGGAGCTAGAGTCGTCTGGCGGACGGAATGAATCGCACCAAGGGACACCTTGACCTTGACAAGGGGCGCGGAAGCGGTACCCAGGAAACCGATTCAAAACTCCAAACACCCGCTACCATCCAACAAATAACCACTACTATTCATGAAAGCAGCGCTTTGCAAGTTTTTCCAGTTAGTTGTGTTGTGACGAATTTGGCGTTGATTCGATGTGTCGAGTTCCTCCCGTAGTTTTTTTGCTCTTATTATCAATTATTGCTGCTCCCAGCAACAAGTGGAGACTACCCTCGAGCTGGGCCCACGGGATACAAATTAGACCAGGCTTTGCCCTTGGCTCTCCTCACTTTCAAATTTTGCGGCGGAAAAGAAGCAGAAGGAGTGGGGTGAGGGGGATGGAGATCGGGTTGTCCTCGTGCGTTTTTGGTCCGAACTCCCCGTACCCCCCCGCCCCTCGCGGCCTCCCCCCCCAGTCAAACAATAGTTGGCCTGGGGTCATTTGTCTATTTAGTGGGAGGGGGGGGCAACTTGCGGTGGGGGGGGGACTTTACATTTTGTACGCACTACAAGTATCTCACCTCGCACTCTTGACGCTCGGCTTTTAGCAGACCCATCCTTTCGTTGCCCAGAGCCATTGCACCCAGCGCAGCTTGCCGGTGTCTTGCTTGCCGTAACCAAGAGAGAGTCAGCAACACCCCTGCCACGACAAGAGCGGTGCCAACGGCTCCAGAGCACCCAAGGAGCATTCTGTAACGGCGGTACGCTTCTGCCTCTCTAGCAGCCAGTTTCCTCGCCGCCAATTCCTTTGCCGGTTATCTCGAGCCAGGAAGAAATATCGAAAATATTTCCGACATCTTCGCCATCATACTGCCGTGAATACGGAAAGGGGGACGGGCTTCACCCGCACACGAAAAAATATTCAACCAGCGTCTGCTATGTATGTATGTTGTATTCAGCGAGAGAAATAAATGTGGTAGAAATACACAAGCAAGCTTAGATGTACTGACATCATCATCGCGCCTAACCACACGGAACTTTGAAATAATTATGTTTTCCCACCATCCTCTTGTCTGTGTGACCCTGGATGGTTGTAGTTGTACGAAAAAGTACACTGAAAAGTGTAGTACACGTCTCACCACGAAAACTGAGGGCACTGTCACCATAATAAATAGGACGAAAACACACACACATCATCATCAGTTGAAATGCTGCGAGCAGCACTGAATGACGATTATCGATGCCTCCTTGGAGCCCTTACCACAATGCACGAGGGTGCCCGTGCCTTTACATCGCGTCTGCATAATAATCTACCGAACGTCTGGTTGGCGGCGAAGCCCCGCCGTGTGTAGTCTTATGTACCGCCGTGTACCATGCCGAACGAACACCGCACACGATTTCATTCGCGACGAAGAGGCGAGCGCACGTTTTCTATGTCGCTCTCATCATACACCATCGGGTGGACGGGCGAGTCGCTACGATCCGTTCCGACTGGAATGCACATTTCTTCAAGGTTGCATTGTCCTATAAAAACGTCTGGGAAATCGTAGACATACAGGTACTTTTCTGACGCTATGAATCCATTGCTAATCTGTCTCAGACTCTTTTCTATGATGGAGATGGTTTCGTGGTGTCATATTAAGAAAAAAATAAAAAAAACGAGGCTTCGCGAATCAATCGTGAGGCAATGTGTAGCACGTAGCAGGCGCGTGCGAGTGCGCTGGGCAAATACATAAATGCATGCGGAGACGAACGCATGATGTGTGTGTCGTGTGTGTTTCCTGTCCACGGGCAAGCACCGGATGTGGGCGTGATTACTATGGAGACGAAGTCTATTATGGATATTGTGTAATACCCTGGCACGGTGGTGTAGAGGCTGTGTCTTCGACGTTAGTCGAGGTGATGACACGTGCGAGAGGGTAGCCTGGAAGACGAGAGCCATTCCACGGAGTGAAGAAGATGTAGAGAAATTGGAACACTGGCGCTTAGATGGCCAACACAATCTGGAAGGATCACACGAGAGAGTGAGCTACTCGGCTACCAAGCACCACGCAGAGAATACTGCGAGAGTAATTCCTCCGCATACACATACGTACGTTACATTCGAACCGACATTCGAACCGACACAAATGAGATCTACAATATACAAGAGCAGTGCTACTGAACATTGACTAATACTGGCTATGTGCTAACATTTCCATAACACTCCCCCTCAATGAAAGTTGCTCTGAATTGTACCAAACTACAGTGATGAATATTCAAGCAAGTAGTGTACTCGTTTCCTGGGTAACGTAACTCATTCGTTTCATGCGTTTCAACCACTACTAATGTACCAAGTGATAATTCATGTTTTACACGTGTTACAATACCTTCATGCGCTTGCAAAGAGTACCTGCTATTACTTCTTGCATAAACCAAAGCATCATAACTTTCAATCCTACATGGCTCGTTCAACCAGTGATGGTGCGAGGCCGAATGTTGACTACCGAAAGAACACGCTGATGATTCACACAAACAGAACAGATGCAAAAATACTTCGTAACAAACACACAAACATATAACACGATTACTTGAACTTGTTGCTGATGAAGTCGTTGACGTTGAAACTCCTGATGATGTCCAGCAGGTGTTTGAGCCGATCGATGCTTGTTAAGATGCTTTGTCCCGATGTCAGCAGGGTTGCTTTCCGTCGGGATGTAATGGATCGATATCCGTCCTTCCGATACTAGCTCTCGGATGTAAAAGAAACGAAGGGCGATATGTTTTGTCCTCGAGCTGAAGGAGCGGTTTCCAAGCGCGTGCAGCGTCGCCGTGTTGTCGCAGTACAGCGGCACTTGCGCAAACTCCTTACCGAACCCTAGCTCAGTTAGCATGTTTGAACAGAACACTGCTTCCTTCATGGCTAGTGCCGATGCAATCAGCTCTGCCTCCATGGTAGACATGGCAGTTGGACCTTGTATCCCCGACTTAAAACTCACAGGTGCATTGCCTAGCATCGTCAAGTAGCAAGAGGTGGACTTTCCGTTGTCAGGGTTGTTCGCCCGGTTGGAGTCCGAAAAGGTCGCAAGCTTGAAGCCTCCAACCTTGTACGTGATTCTAAAATCCATGGTGCCGGCTAGATAGCGAAGAGTGTGTTTAGCTGCCACCATGTGGATCTTGCTGGGCTTCGCCATTGCACGGGCTAGTTGACCCGTAGCGTACATGATGTCGTAGCGGAGCACTTGAGCGATGTACATCAGGCACCCCACGATGCCCTGATAACGTCGTGTTTCCTCCTCGCCTAGCAGAGTGTCCTCTGGTTGCTTGTTGGAGAGTTCCGAACCGTAGCCAGGCGTGCTGGTTGGTTTGCATTCAGACATTCCGAATCTCTCCAAGATGGACTTGCTGTACGCTTCTTGGGAAACCGTCAGTGTACCTTGGGTGCGGTCCCTCTTAATTTCCATACCCAAGACAAGCTTCACGTCGCCCATGTCTGCCATCTTGAACCTTTGTTTTAATTTCTCCTTTATCATCAAGATGACGTTGGCGTTGTTTCCGGCTAGAAGAAGATCGTCAACGTAGAGCGTCAAGTAGACTTGATCGTCGTCGTGGTCGTACAGGTAGACGCAAGTGTCAGACTTGAGCGGAACGAAACCTATCTCAACAAGGAAAGGGTCGATGGTGTGGAACCAGTTACTGGGGCTTTGGGCCAGCCCGTAGAGGCTCTTCTGTAGCTGCATCACTAGATCACCTCCATCCTTGTCCTTGACCTCGAAGCCAGGCGGCTGTTCGACGAACACGTTCTCCAGGATGTCCGCGTAGAGGAAGGCTGTGGACACGTCCATTTGATCCAACTCCAGGTTGAATTGCACGGCTATGCACGCTAACATCCGAATGCTCTGTAACCTGCACACCGGAGCATAGGTGCTGCCGCAGTCCAGTCCAGGCACTTGGTTCCAGCCTTGCGCCACTAGACGCCCCTTGAAGGAGCCGTCTGCCTTACGCTTGGACACCCATTTGGACTTAATCTGCTTCCTCCCTGGGGGAACTGCCTTGCGCGGGACGAGCTTGTACACTTGACGTTCCTTGAGACTCGCGATCTCGCGTTCTGCAGCTGCGTTCCACTGCGCTCCGTCCGGCATGGCCCTTGCCTCTTGGATTGTTCGTGGAACATCCGGTTGGGATGCCCCCATAGCGTACGCATATTCCGTGAAACCAAAGGAGCCGTCCCTATGGGCAACGTCAGGGAACTCCCCTTTCGCGGTAAATGCATAGGATATACGACGAAGCTCGCGGATGGTCTTTGAGGTGGGCATGCGCGAACTCGACCTGGTGACAGCAGGTGCCGACGTGGATCCTCGTCCACCACGAGAACCACTTCCACTTGCCGAGCCGCGACCTCCACGTGGCGTGATGCCTCCCTGCGCAGATCCTCCTCGCGAAGATCCACCACGAGCACTTCGGCCACCACGAGACAAACCGCGCCCACGCGCAGATCCACCCCGCGGTACAGCACTAGACGGTGCAGGACCAGAAGGCGATGAACCAAGCAGCATAGAATCAAAAAACGAACCAGGAGGAGACGCACCGTCATCCGTTTCAAGGGGGTTTACTCCCCCAGGCGAGGCAGGGCTACCTCCCGTAGGTGTACCACCAGAAGTCCTAGACGCGTCGTCGTTGGGAGCAGGTCCTGCAGGACTAACCCCAAGGTCACGGTTGGTTGTCGTACGGATTTGTTCTAGAAGCTCAATCACAGGTATGTCCCCAACGTCATGATCAGGAGAGAGCGAATCAACTGAGTGGTTGAAAGTGTAGTTTCGCAAGTCTCTTACCATGTCGTCGTGGTTGTCGTACGTGAACTCTCCGCCGTCGAAGCCACCCTCATCCAACGCAGGCGCAACGGGAGGTGTCTCAATGAAGACAACATTTCGACTCACCCGTACACGTCGCGTCTCAGAGTTGTAGATCCTGTACGACTTGCTGTCCATGCTGTATCCGACAAGGCGTCCTTCCCAAGCACGATGCTCCATCTTCCTGGTGTGGGTCTCTTCGTGCACGAACGCCCTTGATCCTATCACCCGAAGGTGACCAAGGTAGGCATCCTTGCCGTAGAGGGCCTTGTACGGCGTCCCGTTTTGCAGGGCTGCATGAGGAACCCGGTTGCTCAGGTAGACTGCCGTCTGGATCAGCTCCCCCCAAAGGAAGTTCGGTAGAGTTGAGTCAGCGAGCAGACAGCGCACGATATTCAAAATCGTCCGACCCGCACGCTCGTTCGCTCCGATCTGCTGAGGGGTGTTTGGAGAGGCGAACTCCAGCTTGATGCCGATATCTTGACAGTACTGACGGAATTCCGCACTCGTGAATTCTGTGCCTTGATCCCCGCGGAGGCAATGAATGCGTTCGCCGGTAGGAACCACGGTTCCTTTGTTGAACAACGCGAGGGAGTCTACAGAACAGGTCTTGTCCTTCATGAGTACTATTTCCGCCCACTTGGTCTGCTGGTCGACGAACTTGGTGGCATACTTGAATCCGCCCAACGCTGTAGGTGTGAAGGGGCCAAGGGTGTCGACGGAAACGTGTTGGAAGGGGCGCAAGACGCCGTAGGTGGCCTGCTTTGGGTGAGGTTGTTGCGCGCTCTTTCCGAGCGGGCAGACACTACAGTCCTTCACGTCTCCGGTGTAGTCGACGCTGTTGACCGGTTCTTTCCTTAGAACGTCGATGTATGTATGTAGCACAGTGAGTGACCCTTGACCAGACGTGGGCACACAGCCACATAACGGCCAGAGAGGAGCTATCACCGTAGACAAAAAGGTCTCGAATAGCCTTTACACTCTACATGTACACCCAGCGCGAGTTTATGCTGGATCGCTCCATGAGAAAAAAAGGGTTGACAGTTACTACATTGATTCTTCCTGGAAGAGAAAAAGATGAAACAAAGTCTTCTCGCGTTAAATTCGCAGGCAAGCACCGCAGGAGGGGCGGAGGGAGAGAAAGCCTTCTGTGTGACCACAGAGCTTCTACTCTGCAGAAAGTCATGCAAAAAAAAAAGGAATATCTTACTCGTTGCAGACGGTAAGTAGTCATTTCTTACCGGAGGCTAAAACCGTTAGCACTCGACGAGGAAGTGCGAGAAGAAGAGTAAAATTATGAGTACTACTGTACAGTAGTCAGCGTCCTTGTCTGTCAGACAGTGATCTAGCACGCATGATGGTTGGGGATGGATGTGGTTGTCGAAATGCGTGGATTTTGGTTGGCGTAGCGTTCGGTACCTTGGTGGTTTGGTCAATCAATTCCGCTAGACGACAGTTGGAGTTTGCGACGCAGTATGTAGTAGTGTAGCTCATCGCTCACTTCCTTTTCCCAAGCTGGCCTTTCGCGCGGGATTTCTCATCCTTCCCGAACTGCGAACACACACCCCGCCCTCATGACGAGGGCGCTGTGTAACGAAAGCCCAGAGATCTATGCAGAGCTGATCTCGCGAATCGTCGTGCCGCCATTACGCACACCAACCGATCTCCTGTACGCCCTTTTCAACCGCATGGGTGGGTGAATAGGGCCATGAATTGTCGAAAGAGGGCACATACGAGTCCCCGAGCCTTCATGAAAGCAAGCGTGTTGGTTCAACAGACCAAGGAACAACACACGGATACAAATCACAGCAAACGTGTTCGAAAAATTGCTGCAACAACGCGCTCAAATTCATACAACCGACAAAAACTTCATTGAATAGGCTGCTTCCCATCCTTGCTTGCAATCATCGAAGGGTTTGGGGGAATTTTCTACGAGTGCAACAGGTCGATCCCCTGCACTCACACACCCAAAACACTTTGCCCTCGAATAGAGGACCTAGAAACAAAAGCAAATGCGAGCGCCTGGCCCAGAAGCATCTCTCAGAGATTTTAGCACACCCGCTAAAACAGAAACACTCCACACGCAGATTTGAATTAATCCTCCACTTATGCCCCTACTACCAATCGTCAAACGGCAACTCCACCCACGCAATCAGCGAGTTGATCAAAAACCATGCCATAAACCTGGATGGCATAGAGGTCAACCCGTACCGTGCCCACAACAGCCAATCAGATCCTATTTAACATGGTGCAGCACCCCCGATCAACAACTCCACGCACCCTTCGTCATAATTATTGGGACGCCTTTGTGGACGGAGCTTCGTCCTTGGAGTATAGAAACGCCGCACAGAACATGAGGAAACCGACCATCACGCTCAGAGCGGAAGCGTAGTACGGGTATGCTGCCACGAGGAATCTCTCGTACTCGCTATGGGTGAAGGGCCGGATCGACACCTGGGATTCGGCATAGGCGTGGCGAGAAATACAAAGCGGGGATGGGATGGGAGACAAAAAAATCATGCGGATAGCTCGCGAGTCGTCAAGGAACGTGTGGCAAATTTTTACTAGGCTTGCTTTGCACGGGCAAGCACAGTGGACAGTGTCGGTATCGAAAAAAACTTCGCCGGAAGTTCACAAAGAAGGAAGTCGACAAACCCAGCTCACAGGTAGCGCGCTATATTTGTACCCTACACGTTTGGGAGATTCCACAATGAATCAAGAAACATTGAGGACAAGAAGCCATCGACCATCCTTGAAATCACCGTCAGAGTGAGGCGATCCACCAACCTGGGTCGAGAAGGACAGGACAGTGTACCCAGGCCGTCTGTAATGCACCCTGAACTTGAAGATACCATACGTGTCCGGCACGGTAAAGGTTTTCTTGAAGAGCCCCCTCGCGCCCGGCTCAAGCGTAATCCTCTCGTACGCGTCCAGCATCACAAACTCCATCTGCGTCATGCATAATAAGTGCAGCAAACGAACACAAGTCAGACTCAATATTTGTATGGCACAACTGGTGACGCGGTGACGTCAACCGCCGGGCGATGAACAGCGCATGTCATGCGTTCGTGCGAATCCAGCGATCGTTCCATCCGCCTGAGATAGATAGTGTAGTGGATGTAATGTAATGTAATGTACGCTATTGGCGATCTTCGTTCTTGGTTTCTTGTGGTGTGTTGCTCTTCGAGTAGTCGTGTACATATCGTCCTCTCCTCTCACCTGAACATCTTCCGCAGTGTACGGTCTCCACCCGCCCTTCTCCGAGTCGAATTCCTCGATCACCACGGAGTATGTCACGTTGTCTTTCACGCGGTACACCTTCATGTGTTAGGGCGCACCAAGAGCGGAGAAATCGATGCCACAAACACATCGAATCAGGCGCATGCTCAAGCTTGTGGACAGATACCACCTGTGCCAAAATGCAAGACAGATGCTACTGTGCCGAACTCAATAAGCATTAACGCGCAGATATCGACTGAGGAGCACACAAGCTTCCGTTGTTCTTCGCTCGTCATGGGTGCCTCACGACATGACAAACATGAGACATGGGACATGGGACATGGGACATGACCAAAAACGCTGAATAAGCGCAGTTACGTAGGATTCGTCAGCTGTGCGTAGTGTCCACACTTGGTAGAATACTTTGTACAAAAAACAGCGATGTTGTTGTCGTGGTTTATATAATAGACTTTTAGACTGTTGGAATAATGTATAATTGTCATAATTCCGACATAATCAATTTTCATTCTGTCGCGCAGGTACACGCTCATGAAAACCAGCGTTGTGGGCGCGCGCTGGGGGTGGGTGGGTGTACGTCGTTCTCGACGGTAGGAGGTAAAACAACCATACGAGGGTCGTTTCGTTTCCTTTTCAATCCGTCGATTGGGGTTCCTTGACCATTTTTGGCTCAAGAGAGGTGGAACACTCGTGAGCAGATTTGCTACATTTTCGTCTCTCCTAGAGGCAGGCGAAAACGGAATGGCGGGTGAGACTGATCACCCGGAAGCTTGTTTGAAAGGATCGACTTTCGTGTGGCACAATTTCTACCGTACTGCTGGGCTGGTGTTGTCGGTATCTTCCTTCGACGGACCTGAGAGTTCTTGGCGATTTCCGGCTCGGGAAAGAGCGACATGGGCAGATCGCGTCGCTCTTTCTGCTTCAGGAGGAGCTCCGCATCTGAGCCATCTTGGCGAGTGTGTGTGATGCTGGACGCCCGAAGAATCCCTCTTTCTGCGAAAACCCACTGTATGTGTTTACAGTTTGCACGCAGGAAACGAACCACAGTGAGTATCTACGGCAAGAGCTCTCTGAGCGTACCAACTTCCTGTTCAAAACGCGCTGGCAGGAACAAGAACAAGAACATGATCATGATTACGCAAAATCAGGTGGGAGCTGAACAATCATCAGATTCATCTTGAGCGCATTTACTCTACGTAGAATATGGTCGATGATGAAGAAAAAAATGCACAGTGCATATGTGTGGCAACGTACAAAATGCTGCCGATCTGGGAGCAAAAGTTGTCTGCTCGACTCTCGCAGCGTCAAGAAGATTTCAAGAGAACCATCGTGTCAAGAGAAATGTGTCGGAAAGTTCTTGAGTTGTCAATCTATGATATTGCACAACCTGCTGTTGCTATTAGTTCGACTTGAACAGAGAATCAAGATATCTATATCTTCCTGTATTATTCTCGAAATGAACCATGAAATAAACATCGCAGCAATGCGTGTATTGATCGTTCTCCATGCTTGGATGTGCTACCTTCCGATTGCACAAGGCTGCACCGAACACACGATAATACCATACCACACCACACTTACCTTGCTGATTTCAGAGCAGAACACGTTGTTCCCCGCCTCTGGTAGCGTGAAGAACCTGTTGCTAAACATTGCCAGAGACCCGGTGAACAGCATGCGCGCGTTTGTTCTTGCCTGCGTAGGCATAAGTTTTCAACAAAGAGGTGGGGGGACGGGGGACATGTTGGCGAATGTGTACTTGCACTCTCATTTTGCTAACCCCATGTGCCCAGGGTTTCCGTTTAGGAAGGAAGGAATCGACAAAAAAAAAACAAGGAACACTGCGAGACGCGAAGCATGATCATGACAACCACTTGAAGTGAACAGCATCCACGTGGATGAGATCAAAGGTGGAGGTGGGCAGTGGTTGGGCGGGCATTGCTTGAAAACTGTGTTGGTGTTTGTTTTGGAATGACGTTCTACGCCATTCTGTCTTGCACACTGCATGAACAGCAACTGGTGCCAAAGGATATCGAGACAAAAAAAAAAGTGGAAATCATACTTGCGACTTCTGCCGCCCTTGCCGCTGTACAGCGAGTGCAACGCCTCCTGCACCAAATTCCCAAGACAGTTTGTTCAATTTGTTCGATTGTCCCACCGAAACCACGAGGTTCTAGGCAGATACATCAAACGCGAATAGCGCTGGTTTCTGGAAGGCTCTTGACCAGTACCCCACAATATTATTCTGCTTCTGCTTCTACCAGCAATACAACGCCCAGCAGAAAATTGCCTCGAAAGAGATTGTGTGCACTTCTGCAAAAGGGAGACGGCAGTCGTTTGCTTCTTACTTGCACGGCAGAGACGAGAAGGGTGTCTCGACCAGCATTTTCAGGAAATTTGCCTATGGAGTTGGTCGGGTCTGCAGAGTACGCCGTTCCTGAGGCGGTTAGGACCTGACAGAAATGACGGGAGGGGGGGGGGGAGTTCAACATCTCAGTGTCATCCAAGATCGCAAGTGCACCAACCAAGACCCTTAACATTCTCATTAAGTAAGGACGAGACACGTTTGACACGTTGTTGCCAAACAGCCAGGCATTGAACCAAGCATGAAGTGCATTGAGATGTTAGGCAAGTCGCTTGCAGGGAGGGTGATATGATGGGATCTGATATGTAGTGCATTATATCGTGCGTATGGACGATATTTTCAACCGACTTGCTTCTTGTCCGACGTGGGACCTTAGGCTTTAGTGGGGACGGCATGTATTTACACTTCTGTACAATAGTATGCCCATATGCCCACGGCGGGCCAAGCCTAGCGAGAGGATAAAAAAAACAGGAGGAACTACTTCAAGAAGTATGTCAAATGCATGGTCCCGAAATAACCACAGTGACTGGAAGAGTTTTTCTGAACCTAATCCAATCCTCTCGTTTCTCACAGGCCAACTGCATCTACTCTACTCTACTCTATCTTGCAGTACAACCCGGGGAGACGCTTGTCTCACATAACACCTTCACCTTCACGCACCCACCTTTGTGGCGAGGTAGTTTTCGTCGTCAACCTCATGTCCAACTCCGCTAAACACTACCGCCCCATCCCTGCCAGCGCTGTAGCTCCCGAGATATAAAGCATTGTCAGCCGCGACCTCGCCCTTGATAGCCGTATTTGCGTATACGCTGCAACCAGAAGGAAGAGCAGAAAAGGCAAGGGTAAGGGTAAGGGGAGGGGTATACGCGCGCAAGACAGTTTCTTACCTTACCGCCATACCGCACATTTCTCACAGGACAGTATCACTCGATGCCAATGTCTCTCGCACAACGCACAACGCGTTGGAGGCCTCTGTTCGTTTCTCCTTAATCAGCCACCTTCATGTCGGTTGTATGCAACCATCTTAAAACATATACCTGGTATGTACTATACTTGAACACAAGACAACCAGACTCATTGTCTCGGAGACGATAATTTTTCAACACATTGTCCACGCAAAAGAATACTCCTACACGAAAGGCGGTGGAGTCTTGTTACGAATGCCGCTTGGAACGTAAAAAACGAAAAATAGTTTACACCAATTTCATGCTCGCCCTCACCCTCGGCCCTCAAGCTCCCCCAGCTGCTCATCCTTCACCGCGGTGAAATGGTCGACCACTCTAGAGCCTTGAGGGTCAAAGTCGACTCCACACAAGGCCCCAACCGACCGAGAAAGCGTGCCCATGCTGTCCCCCCCAGCCATCAGCACGTTTCCTGCCGAAGGGAAGGGGGTTATTGTTGCAGCCGTTGGAGCTCCTGAAGGTTGTTGTCCCGCTATTTGTTAATCGAGGCATCGAGACCCTTTCTTCAACTATCAAGGTGCAACGGGTCTCAATTTACGTAGAGGTGCGACATGTTTATCCCCTCACTGAGATTTTCCCTTTCGTACTTGAGAATTGTAAATCGTTGCACGAATTGCTTCTCGCCGCTCTTTTGACTTTGATCTGTATGATACAACCTTCACCATCTTTATCTACACACATTGGCAGCTACACACGTTTCGTAAGGGGGGGCTTCGCAGCAGCCCCGTGAGAAAACATTGTGGTCCTCTTACGGCAGGCATAATGTGCGTGCCGGCTGGTGACGTGGAAACGTTTCTTTCGCTGTACACAACCACATAACAACGCAGTTGCAGCCAAGCGGGCTCGTACCAAAATATATTACTTCGAAGTAACACTTTGCTGACTGACGGAAACGTACATGTACAAAATTCAAGGGAACACGTGGCCACCAAAATGGATGCGTCTACTGATATACTTTCTCCTTTAAGCCTCAGCCATTGTGGGTAGCCAGCGATTCAAGCGACCAGGCTTCAACATGAACAGTGCCCGGAAGCAACCTTTCTGTATCACTACAATACTCCACTATCGATATGACTGAGGACCTAGCCTATCTAAAGTGCCATGCGGCCTACTGACGAAAAAGCACCTCACACCCTTAAATGGCGCGTTGTTCTCCGAACTTCGGACTTCGGGCTGTCGGACTGCAACAACGCAATATCGGTAGTCGTGGGTGTTCCTTTGACCTTTCACCACAAAACGAGCATCGCCCGAAAGTGTTTTCTTCTGCTGGCGTGCTATCAAGCCAAAACACCTCTGTATCGTTCAGGTTTACGAGTAACGACCACAGCTTTGCCAATTCGCCTGGACGTGCGAGGCATACACCCACATATCTTGCTGTATTTGATGGTAGCCAGCAAGGGGAGGTCGTTGGCTTGGCTGGCTTATTCTATACTGAACAATACCATGGGTATCTACAGTGAAGCGTTGTTTTCGGGCCAGACAGGCGCGAAATACAGGGGAAGCGAAAGACATCAAGTCAAGGATGTGGATGTCAGAATTTGCGGTTTGTACAGCATTCGACGAGACCTCGCACATCAAAATACTCGAATCTCACTCGTTGAAATTGATGGAACGGCACTACAAACAAATGCGCATGAAAGGTTTGACACGAGGAGGAAGCGATTTGGCTCTTGTGCCTCTGGTAGTTTCCACTCCACGGTGCTTCTTCGGACTATCCAAATACTGAGTTCCCACGGCCGCAATAATATTTGTAAACCCACACGACCTGGTGCATTGTTCTGTGAGACAGTGAGGCAGCTTTCGTACGAATACAATGCCGCGCCACCAGAACCAGTAGACACGCTCACCGCCATCCTCGATGAACTCCATGATATCCGCCACCGTGACCGCCTTGCTTCCCTTTTCCACTGCTCCAGAGAGCGACTGCGCCAGCAACACCAGGTTGTCAAACTCACGCTCCCCGAAGGAGGTAAGGGGCACATCTGCCGACCCCGCGAACCGGAAGGCCAACTCGTGTCCTCGTGCCTTTGGAAACAGAACGAACGTCACGTGCATGCACCAAAGAACGACGCCTGTTTGCACTTTTCGCCTTGGATATCCGATCTGCCTCTTTGACTTTCGCGCATTCGCCCTTAGTTCAGGACGTTCTGCGGCCAGTGGACAACGATTTGCCAGTTGAAGGAAAAATATAACCAAACTCCTGATCTTCTGCGCTTGCGGAACTTCAACATGGTGCAATCCCAAAATGCCAAAATACATAATAATACCCACCTTCATTTAAAAATTAGCTCTGATGGCGTCTCTCTCTCTTGCGTAATGGCGACGGTACACCTCTACGCGGTTGTTTTGGGGCAAGTCTCCTGCCGTTGTCCATTGGAAAATGCCCACTCCGTACACCCGAGTTACCGACTTGACGTGGAGATAGATCACGCATCCCAAGATCCAAGCGGTGGGGATAGAAGTGCATTTCTATTGCGATGGTTTCGGCGTTCAGGCGGTGTCATGGCAGCCGGCCATGCAGCCGATGGGTCTTGCGTCTGGATATTCAGTGTGCATGTTGTATTAGGACCGCTGGCAGCTAAGTTTGCTACGCGGGCTCTGAGGAGGGGTTTTGTGTCCAGGCATATGTAGGTTGATGCCGAGACGGCCTTGGAGTGCTCAGCTGTTATGCGAACGCGGGAGTCCACGGAGAGTCGCGAAAGTCTATTGGCCTCCGCCGTTCAAGCGTACAGTCGTACAGGAAGGTTCTGGAGACGATCGGACGCGTGATGTGCCGCCGTGGCGTCGATGTTTGTGCGGCTGCACATAACTTCTTACATACCCCCACACTTACTTTGGCCAGGCACAGCCGTCAGGCAATCCAGCACAACCATTTTCTGGGGTGAGAAGCGGCTACTATTGCTCCTACTACTGCTCTATGTGGCGGCAGCCAAGTGAGTCGTACAGGCCGGCTTCTGCTGCTGTATATGCATACAACCTCGGTATCGTACCATGTACACAAGATGGGCTCCGGGAGTAATGTCCTACTGGGCAGCACGAAGAATCACCTGGTACCCCCGACACACCCACACAACATTGGGTGTGGTACTGCTGTGGTAGGGTACATACATTGGCGGCAGACAAATTTTCAAATTATGCGCAGCATGTGGCTTCAGTCCTTCAAACCTCACAACAGGATACGCAACACGAATTGTAGTCTACAGCAGTTTACAGTTTACAGCAGGTACAGCAGGTACTGCTGTTGTACCGCAGTCAAAACTTGCGGACACATAATGGAGGGTAGACTAATCCACTTGGCTCAGCACCTACCTCCAGAGCAGAGAAAAACATCGAGTGACTGTCCTGGATTTGCGGCCCGTCAGCGAGAACAAGCGTTCGCTTTCCTCCGATCGAAGCTTGGAGTACTCCGGTTGTACCCGGCGCGTTCAACTCCGCCGCAGTGAACAGCAGTACGCTTGCCAGAGCTAACGCAACGGCGGCGCAGCTTCGCCCCCGCGCCATCTCGCCCAGTGTCCACAAGATCTAAGCTACGAATGCAATGGCTGTACACAGCCGGCAAAGTCCTGGGTGTATTCCGTCTCTATGCTCTCTCTTCAATACAACCTCATGAACGCGAGATCCAGAAGCTAAAGGGTCGGAAAACAGCACACCAATAGATACACACGACCGTCGCAGCGCCCAGCCAGCTGCAGCGTGTTGAGGAGCAGCGGAGAGACGGGGGCACCGCGGTCTAGAAGGTGAGGTATACGTCGTATTTTATATTTATCTTATCTGCCAACCCCCCACGCAGCATTTGGCAATTTGGCATCGAAGCAGCCTTGTGTGGCATTGCATGGCCTTCCACCCTGGCGAAAGACCCACACCCATTTCAACACTGCTCTCTTCGGTTGAGGTTGGTGGCAAAGATTGCGAAGCCAAGACTTGGCCTAGTTCTTCAGCTCCTTACCCCTAAGTTTTAAGGTGTTCGTGACAGGTATGCAAACAAGGCGGAGATCCTACATTTTCAGTTTGGCTGGGTGGTGACTACTTGTATGGTTGTGTGGTGGTCGCTGGTCAAACAAGCGTCGCAATTTATCGTGGAGTACACAACATTCGATTCCGTGGTTGATGAGGAAAAGGGGCGGCTGGATCATTCTCATGTCTCTGGGCGACCTTTTGCTACTGTGTGAAACCGGCTGATAAAATTTACTTCCGAAAACATGCCGAGATGTCGAGCAACAATGGCTGGATTCGCATTGTACCCAGTGCGGCAATATGACCACCGAAGACACCGGCTCTAATTAGAGATTCAGAGGAACAACACATGTACTGCTGTATTGTGAATGTAAATGCCAATACCGGCACTATTGGAGGGTGTGATCAGTGCTGGTTCTAGAAGTAGACTCGATTTTTATTTGATCGTATATGTATTGTACGACACTGACGCTTTGCTAAACGGTGAACGGTTGACCTGTTGTACTACTCCTTTCGAGTATGCATAATTGTAGACAGCGGTGTCGTGGGTGGACTCCGAGAAGGAGGGTTTGGTTCCAGGCCTGACGGCATACAAATTGTATTTGTACATGTACGTAAGACTAGCGGATGTTTAACTTCATCAATCAGGATGCTGGTACCCCGACAGCGAAACGAAAGCAGTCATCATCATGCACCCGACGCACCGCTAAGGTAGCATGTGCTTTGTAGAGAATCTTACACAACTAGAACGAATCGTACTGTTCTTGTTGCCTTCGTTAGACGTATAGACGAGAGACAGAAGGAAGACCGCTAAAAGGTACCACATGCAGAAAACCAAACGCAATGACGGGTGTAGCTAGCTCGGACAGAGACGGTACGATAGAACTCCAAGACAGAAAACCAGCACGGAATCAAACTATTTTGAAGCACCCCTCCCTGTACCCCCCCTCCCTCACTACGTCCCAACGAACTCGGTCGCCACGTTTTCTTTTGCATAACTCGTTCTGCTGACGTAACGGCCTTCACCAGGCTTAGCTTCCAAACATGGCATGGTGTCCCTTCACGTTCGTACTGCACTCGAACTACCGACTATTTAGCACCGGGCCGGCTCTCGGCACGGCTGCCTGAAAGTCAATGATCCATCGAGAACCAAAAGAGGACCGCAATGGGATATCAAGCTCCGGTTAGTAAGTCTGATAGAGCGGGGGTGGCAAAAGGGATGTTGCTTCCCTCAGGTCCCCTGGCTTCCCGCGGCGCAAACTTGCACACCGAGAATGTTTTTTCAATCCTCTTTCCCTCGTCAAACAGTATCATTTGTCGACCGTTGTACCCTCCTCAGCGAGAAAAGCACAATCTTTAAGCGGTGGCGTAATTGGGTTGGAACCCAGGACCTGACCAACCAAGTGATTTTGGGAATATACATTGCGACCATGGACTCACTCACTCACACCCACCCCCGCGTGGTACACCGCTTAGATATTTCCCTTTTGACTAATCCACCTCTACCTTCCTCCGTGACATTGTCGTAGCATGGGGAAAATCGACACAAAGGCCAAGCACAGGCGTCCTGTATCGGAGTCTGCGGTACCGAGCCGCGGTCAACGCAAGCGAGCTCTGAAGAAAGCATCGCTGATCAAGAAGATTGGTTTGACTTCAAAGCATGTCAGGCAAAGGAGGACCGATGAGGTACAGCATTAGTAGTTGGGCTCTTCCCTGAAAGAAACTGATGTCTACCACTTTCCGACCGAACTGTGTTGTTGGGGTACAGTATTATATTCTGTCTCAACGTGCCCTCCCACGAACCTGCAGGCTGTTGTATTGTGGAGCGCTAGCGGCCGGTACCTGTGTTCGCGAAGCAATTAAGAGCCGATTCGGCCTTGTGCACGTGTCTTGTGCACGTATCATCCGCTGGATACCTTACCGTGTTTCATGCATCTTACGTAGTCTACTTCGCGATACAGGACGAAAAACAGGTACCGTCTGTAGCCACGGATGAAAAAGGGATCCCCTCGCGACCAAGTCTGGCTGCGAAAGGATCGGCGTTTCAACGAGTCAGCAGCAACAAGGGCAAACGATCTCTCATGACGTCAGAAATGGGTCAAATCAATGCCGTATTGTCAGCCCCGTCGTTCCAGCAAGATCCTTTCGCGGCGATTCAGGTGAGATCCTTTGCTTTCGCTTTGTTTGGCAATCGCCGAAAGTGATTGTTGTTGACTGCTGCGAGGGTGCCTTTGTTCAAATATGAAAAGGAAGAGTAGAGACGTTTGAAGCGAACCAAGCTATCCTCACTCCGTATTCTCATATCGGCGGACTTTCGCGGCTTTCATTTTATTCCCAGAGCGTTGCGCCAATTTTCTTTTACCAGGCCCATCTACGGCAAACGGCGCTCCCCACCCCTCCAATGGCCGACTGCAAGGCTCGAAAGCCTGGAAAGGGCAAGGTTTCTGCTAAGAGTGTCGGGCAGCATGCCGGAGAAACGCGAGGAGACAGAAAACCAAAGGCCAAACCTTACAAGGCACGAAATGCGAAAATGAGGTCTAGATGAGCGGGGGACACATGTGCACGAACGTCGAGACGAAGCGAAAATGTGTGTTTGGGATTTCTCGACGGTCCTTCCTGGCGAACAATGTTGAGACTGGTAAAATCTACATGTTGGTTGTAACGAGGTTTTAGGAAAATTTTCCCACCTGGCGATATTGGGCGCTGCGCCATCTTCGCGATCTTCTCGTCCTGGTACATACCAAACCTTCAGAGAAGCGGACGCCGCCAGAATTCTTGGAGATGGCCACCAAGGAGATTGCATGGCGCGGTATGAGTCTGTATGTGTGCGTCTCATCTCCTCTGACACCAGTTTACACACCGTTCGTGCACAGTAGAACGAAATATATGCGTCATCGTTTTTGTTCTGTTTTAATGCCCCACATTTCCCTCTGCGATGTGTGCTTAGTTTTTATTACGACGAGGGTCCAGCCGTCCTTTGCCCTGATCGACTGTCAAGTTGGTGATGCTCACGAATCGATCATTTTCCGACGGTTAATTCCAATAATACCCCGGGGGTAGCCCCGGCCTCATCTGAAGCCCTTTCGGTTCCCCAGGGAGGGTATGGTTGTGTGGGGTCGAGGATGATGTAGTTGAGGGCGGTGATGAAGATGATGGATATAAGTCCATCCATGGATGTGAAAAGAAAGAAGCGAAGAAGGAAGGAAAGAACCACCGTTTCTCCCCGTTCTCGACTTAAAACCCACTCACTCGACGTCCGCATGAGTACCAAATAGAGCGGGCAAAAAGACAGGGCGCCGTCGGCCGTGACCATGGTATCCACACTTTTGACGGGTAGATGGGGAAGCACCCCGGTGGACAAATACGGGAGAGAATGACCGAGGGCAGCCCGATGCCGGTGATAAAGCGAAGGTTGTGGAATTTATTTTTTAATCGTCCCGGCATGTGTCTGCAGCACAACGAGTACGGCATGCAAACGGAAAAGAAAGGCAGAAAAAACCAACCGACATACAGACGGAAAAGGCAGTCCCTCCAGGCGAGGAACGCAGCACGAAATCCTGATACATACACCTACACGAAGTACCCAAAGACGGCGACGAGGGAAGGGGCCGCGGCAAGGCCAGGCGCGCAGATGACTCATAAATAGCCGCAAGTTCAAAGTGGATTCAAGACCGAGGAGGCAATTACACAGGAAAATGAAGTCGAAGAACGCGGAAAATGCGGTCCGATCAGACAATGAGAAAATCAGGTAAAAAAATAACTGGAGGCCAAGATAGAGCAAGGCGGGTAGGGTCTGCCCAGGTAAAGAAACCAGGTGGAGTCGAGGGCTACGATACGTCTACTAGGTACTAGTCGAGGTTGACGCAGTCCGTCCGGGCGAGGAAAGCAGGGCCGACGAAACTTTGAGGGATCTTTCGGGCATCGTTGAATAGGCTGTGTCAAAAGTCGGCGACTTTCGTGCATGATTCTGAACCAATCGTGGACGTGCATCCTTTCCGTCGTGGGTGCGGCGGTACTTGCGACCAAGTGAGAGAGAAAAGGTGCCCGCAATTAATTGATTGGCCAATTTTTTGAAAGGAACGTTCCAAAGAAAGGCGAAAACTCCGTGATCGACCGATGACGTCAGCCACGGTCTTGAGATTCAAAAATTTTCAAATTTTCAAATTTGCGGTGGATGACTGACCGACGACCTCACACGGCAGCCAAGGGATATCAGCCATCACCGTCCCTCAAAAATAAACAGGTTTCCCACCACCACCAGTGATGATGACGACACATGCTCTCTCGTCATCTTTTGTGTAGATTGGCCCCAAGCAAGTAGATAGAGTCGGAGTTTCGTGTGCTCTGCAGCCTACACGAGCAGAAGTTGCAGCAGCAGTAACGTCGCAAAAATAAACGACAGAGGCGGTAGTATCAGCAGCAGCAAGCACCTACACCACATTGGCTGACTGCTGCTAGAAAGGTGTGGAGGTGGTGTGGCAAATCACCGATCGATCGCAGGGTCTCCTCAAGGCTGAGACGCGTTGGATGGAATACGCTAGGCCGACCGGTCATCGAGGCATAACGAGGAAGGCTGCGAGACGGACCAAGCGACAGCAGTAGGAGGAGGCGGAAACTGCTGTAGTTTAGTCTTGGTCATCTCCAGACTTCCAAACAAACGGCACCCACTGACTCTCATTGGAAATAAATACCGTGGTTGACGATTCGTCCCAATCTCTAGATAAATTTTGTGTTCTTAAGACTATACCCGCAACACAAAAGACATGTTACATCGCCTCAAGAAAATTAAAAGATTTATTTGCGTCATCGCCGAGTGAGCCGTCACCACCACAGCAATCAGGATACAGATGGTGCTACGTGGAGCAAGTGGATCAAGCCGAACCCCTGGCCAACAGGAGTAACGGGTGGCGCTATGTGGGGCCGCGAGGGGCTATGTATCGTCGCCAGGCGGTCTTCGGTGCAGGATACCGGGTGCGTATCTCGGTCTCGTCCCGTGGACCGGGATACAGATGGTTCAACTCGCACCCGGTTGGAGGTGATCCATCACTGGAAAATTTCCAATCCTGGGCAACAAGGAAGTGGCGCCGCGGTTTGGTCCACCCGAGAGACGCCGATGCTTGGAAAACCGCCTTTATTGACGTCGAGCGGTTTGGTCCACCCGAGAGACGCCGATGCTTGGAAAACCGCCTTTATTGACGTCGAGGGCGGTGGCCGCGGGCAGCTCGTAGTCTCAGCGGCGGATGACACCTGGCGAGCGATCCTCTGCTGGGGATCGGCGGGCAGAAGAATCGAGGTCGATCATGAAGGCATCCCGGCTTCCTTGTCGAACCTCCAGGTCCGCGCCGGTATCGATTCGCCAAGCCCTGGCTTCAGACAACTCAACATCGCGTCCTTTGGTAACAGGGTTGTGAGATACGAACCTCTGACCACGTTCGGCATGACATGGAAGAAACGACTCCCTGGTGCTTGCCTCGCTGTAGAGAGAGAAAAGGTGCCCGCAATTAATTGATTGACCAATTTTTTGAAAGGAACGTTCCAAAGAAAGGCGAAAACTCCGTGATCGACCGATGACGTCAGCCACGGTCTTGAGATTCAAAAATTTTCAAATTTTCAAATTTGCGGTGGATGACTGACCGACGACCTCACACGGCAGCCAAGGGATATCAGCCATCACCGTCCCTCAAAAATAAACAGGTTTCCCACCACCACCAGTGATGATGACGACACATGCTCTCTCGTCATCTTTTGTGTAGATTGGCCCCAAGCAAGTAGATAGAGTCGGAGTTTCGTGTGCTCTGCAGCCTACACGAGCAGAAGTTGCAGCAGCAGTAACGTCGCAAAAATAAACGACAGAGGCGGTAGTATCAGCAGCAGCAAGCACCTACACCACATTGGCTGACTGCTGCTAGAAAGGTGTGGAGGTGGTGTGGCAAATCACCGATCGATCGCAGGGTCTCCTCAAGGCTGAGACGCGTTGGATGGAATACGCTAGGCCGACCGGTCATCGAGGCATAACGAGGAAGGCTGCGAGACGGACCAAGCGACAGCAGTAGGAGGAGGCGGAAACTGCTGTAGTTTAGTCTTGGTCATCTCCAGACTTCCAAACAAACGGCACCCACTGACTCTCATTGGAAATAAATACCGTGGTTGACGATTCGTCCCAATCTCTAGATAAATTTTGTGTTCTTAAGACTATACCCGCAACACAAAAGACATGTTACATCGCCTCAAGAAAATTAAAAGATTTATTTGCGTCATCGCCGAGTGAGCCGTCACCACCACAGCAATCAGGATACAGATGGTGCTACGTGGAGCAAGTGGATCAAGCCGAACCCCTGGCCAACAGGAGTAACGGGTGGCGCTATGTGGGGCCGCGAGGGGTTATGTATCGTCGCCAGGCGGTCTTCGGTGCAGGATACCGGGTGCGTATCTCGGTCTCGTCCCGTGGACCGGGATACAGATGGTTCAACTCGCACCCGGTTGGAGGTGATCCATCACTGGAAAATTTCCAATCCTGGGCAACAAGGAAGTGGCGCCGCGGTTTGGTCCACCCGAGAGACGCCGATGCTTGGAAAACCGCCTTTATTGACGTCGAGGGCGGTGGCCGCGGGCAGCTCGTAGTCTCAGCGGCGGATGACACCTGGCGAGCGATCCTCTGCTGGGGATCGGCGGGCAGAAGAATCGAGGTCGATCATGAAGGCATCCCGGCTTCCTTGTCGAACCTCCAGGTCCGCGCCGGTATCGATTCGCCAAGCCCTGGCTTCAGACAACTCAACATCGCGTCCTTTGGTAACAGGGTTGTGAGATACGAACCTCTGACCACGTTCGGCATGACATGGAAAAAACGACTCCCTGGTGCTTGCCTCGCTGTACTCGTTGCGGACACCTGGCGAGACTGTCAAGTCGAACTTTTGAAACGAGATCGACGGAGATTTGGCTTCAGGGATGTCGACCCTGTAACGGGATCATTCATGATCTCGACCGGTGGTGGACGGCGAAGGGAGGGTGCCATTGAACCGCTGAGGAATGCGTTGGATGGTGACAACTACTTCCGCAACCTGTATTCAGTGCTTCTGGGTCGAGACGTGGGGAGCGAAGAGTTCGATACGTGGCTTGCGGGGGTAAGTGAACCGCCACCGCTCACCTTGCGAAACCTCGAGCAGTGGCTAAGTATGACTAAGGCGAACGTCGTCGTGTGGTCACACAGGGGCTCTGGCGACAAGGTTCTTGGGCCAGTCGACGAAAAAACAAATCTCCGGCCGCCAGCATTACACGTTGGGGTTCGCGAGGGACACGTGTACCGATTGGAGGTCGACGGGCCATGGAGGGACCGGTTTGGGTCATCCTTGGACGTGGCCATCGAGCACAGTGTTAAAACACAGCGAAGATTCCGTCGGATTGCCGAGGCCGTCGAAGAGGAAGAGGAACCGGACACCACTGGGTGTGGAAGCAGGACCTTTTTGCGTGTTGCGGACATCGAAAAAGAGATCATGTCCATGAGCCAACAAGACAAGGATTACGACCCGCAGTCGGCCCAGAAGCGGAAGCGAGGAACAGACACATCAGCATTCACGACGTGGTATTCGCCTCCGGAAACTGCTCTCGACGAATTGATGCTCCACCTGCACATTCGTGGCATCTCATGCAAAGGTAAACTTACCAACTACAGCCATTGGGACTCCCTCACCTTACCCTCACTTGGCATCACTATCCGAACGTGGTGCGCCGCAAGCATGGGCGGGTTGGACCCGAACGACTTTCGGCCCGGTGAGGCTACCCGGTTGATTGAGCTGCAAAACGCGTTGGGTCAGCAGTTTTATCGTCGTGTCATGGACTTTAGAGTTTCGAGCCAGTACAGCCAGTCCCTCCTCGCCCTTCTCGAGATATGCTGGCGCGGACCAATCGTAGGCGCCGAGCAAGCGTCTGGGACTTCGTACGGGCCGGAAGACTGGCAGTGCGACATCAACGGGGCACACACGGCGGCCCTTTTGAGCATGGATACGGTGTCGGTGTTCGCCCACATGGACGAAGTGCAGGAGTACGATGACCACGAAATCGAGGATTCGACGCTTTACGTCGTTCGGCTAGATGACACAGACCCTGACGTGTATCTTAACGCTGATGTGACCCCAATCACGGGTCGGAACTACAAACGGTACATTCAGCTAACTCGCAGATGTGTTCGCCACCAAGTGACCCACTTTGTGAGGCCGGCAAGGACGGTCGAAAGATGCCACATACCCTACGTGGCCAGGGAGCTGCTCACGCGGGAGCTTGGGGGCCCCCTCCTGGAGGGCGCCGAAAGCGCTCGCAAATTCAAGAAAGGGATATTCGTGCGGACCAGCGGAATGCTGCAGCAGAGATACGCGGACAGGATCGATGCTGTCATGGTTACGGGCAGTGACGAGGCCTTAGCTGTGGGTGGAAAGGTCGTACCGGTCCTCGGTGAAGTCCAACATGTAAAGGCCGGCCTACGCACAGGCCACAAAGAGCTGGGCTTCGAACCACTCGCTACCGGGGACGCTTACCTTTGCTTCGAAGCGAAACGAACTTGGTACAGAGACGGCTTCTGGGCCTTGGGTGAAGAAATTCTCGACCAAACTCGACTGCGTGTGTTGGAGGTACGGAATGCTCTTGAATCCTGCGGCGCATCAGACTTTAGCTACCAATGTGACGCGGTATTCTTCAAAGGATCTCCCGCAGTCAAGGATGAAATGAGGCTCCGCTTTGGCCATCTGTTCAGTGGTGAGCTCAATACTCCCGGCACTCTCAAGTTTTGCCCAGCATTGAAGAATCCACAGACCTCCGAGAGTCGCGTCTTCCATGGCATCGAAACCAAACTATCCCTGAGTGCGTTACCGCCCGCACTAAGGCAAATTCCATGCCCGCCTAAACGGGTCCTACGGGTGGTTCCGCTTTGGGATGGCATTGGGACGAGCTTCCCATCCATGGATGACACCCACAGAGCCTGGCTTTCTCTCACCAAAGACCAAAAACTACAGGTTTGGCCGGAGGTGTGCGAGACGGAGTCACCAGCAACCCTTGAACGACTACTACGTGCGCTGAAGTTCGAGGAGGAAAGGATCGTTTGCGCGGTGACCGGGGAGCATGGGGGAGCGGGGAAGAGTTACTGCGCAACACGTGCTGCAACGGCCATCTTCAAAACTGGGCTTGTCGTAACCCCCACCAATAGTTTGAGAACGTCCTTCACAGACATGCCACGTGGGTGGAGTGTAAAGACCGCCGACCACCAGCTCGGTTTCTATCTGGGGGATGATTCTCACGTGAAGAAAACGGCCGGGTCGATACGAACGCTCAAGGTTGACGTGATCATCATTGAAGAAACTGCGTATATGCCTCTCCGGACACTAAGCATGATAATGGCTGCTGCCCATTGCAGCGGCACCCACGTGATCGGGACATACGACACGCACCAACTCCAACCGGTTGAGGACAGTAGCGGTATGTCGACAAGTAGGGACAATGTGGACAGGAGGATCGCCCTCGAAAGGGCTTTCCCCACCTGCTTCCATCTATTCGCGCGCAAGCGGGATAAAACTATCGAAGAACAAGTGGAGATGGACGATGGCCTCTTGTATATTCTCGGCGCGGGAAACGACCGTCACATGGCACAGACAAGAGCTATCGAGAGGTTTGGATGCAGGCGCTCGACTTATCACCATAGCCCGTCAGATTTTCACCTCGCTTACACAAGAGATTGCGCTCGATTCCATGCCTTCCGAGGTTTGTTGGGGTGCAACGAAGTCGGTGGCTGGGATGGGCTGGGGTGTCAGACGGTTGTCGGTGCACAATACAGGGACCTCGGGAACTCGGGCAAGATACACAAGAACCACGTGTACAATGTCATCCGATCATCGGCAGATGAGGTCGTTGTCGCAAGTGCATTTGACGATGGTGCTAGTCTTGAGGAAACTTCACTCTGTCGAGCAGAGGCAGAAAAATTGTTCGATCCCCCAGGAGCATGTACCGTGCACGCCGTCCAAGGCCGTACAGTGGAAGGGAGGTTGATCATACATCAGGCGCGGCACTTTTACGCTGACGTCCACTGGCTGTACACGGCTGTAAGTCGAGCGACCGGACCCTCGAACGTGATGGTCATCGACGACATTCACCGCAGCGAGAGCAACATGTCTGACCTGGAGAGGATTTCGTGGGTTTCTAGGAAGGTCTCGAGCTATATCTATGCCGATGTAACGGCAGGCCGTCTTGAACCAGACGAGGGTGTGCAGCATAGGGAAGCTCTTGTCGAAGAACTTCACCGCTCCTATGGGGGGAAGTGCAACCTGTGCGACCATGAACTTATCTGGGCCGTTTACAGCGAACGCCAACCGACTCTCGACCGTCTTGACTGTGCTTTGCCTCACACGATCGGAAATGTGGATGTTAAGTGCTTGAGGTGCAATCGCGCTCGTGGTAGCCTGGGGAGAGGGAAGTCGAAAAAGAGAAAGACGAGTTGATTGTACCGTGGTCGACCGGTAGCTTTTATTCCAAGAAACTCAGGAAATAATATGTATTGTGTGTATTCAGATAATTCAATCATGAACGATCTCATTCCGCAGTGTGCTCGTTGGTTGGAGGATAATAAAGACCCGGTCCATGTTCTTGAGGTCTTGAGGACTCTGCATCCAGGCTCTCTCAACAAAAATGTCCGGCGAGTCAGGCGAGAATGGATGCAAGTATACGGTCCCGGCCAAAACGATGGCGCCATCAGGAAGGACCTTAAGCGCATACTCAAAGTCATACAGAGGAAGGCATCGTCGCTGGCCAAGAAAACATCGAGTGATTCAAGGAAGAAATACAGCTTGAAACAGCTCAAAATAGCCGAGAGCCGTATCATTTCGTTTTTCAAGTTGGATTTATTCGGCAAATGGGCAGCGCGTAATACCATTCATTCCCACAAGGAGTCCTTCACTGGGCTTGTTGATATCGACGCTCTCGTACGGAAGGTAAATATACTTCCGCCGTACGTCTCTCAGCTGGAACTCACACCGGAAGAAAAAAGTATTCCAAGGAAACGACGTCGAGAAGCCTTGGCAGCGAAGTGCGAAAAGAGCATCACAGTGAACGCGAGCGACCTTGTCGATCTCATGGGAGCAATTATCACATACCCCCGAGCAAATTACTTTGAGTTGGCGTGCGCGTTATCATTTGTTTCTGGGAGGGGGCTGCCAGAACTTATTGGTGCTACTGCTGTCCAATTTTCGCCCAGTAATCACGGCACTCACGAGGTAGATGTCCAGGTTGGTGGAAGAACCTGCCGGATACCATTATTATGCGAATACGAACACTTTATGGGGGGTGTCAATCGGTTGCGTGGAATGAAAGATACATCCCGTCTAACGCCCGCCGAGGTAAACCATCGATTTAGTAAATCAGTTAATTTGTACGCCAGAAAATTGCTTCCTGAAGAAGTCGGATTCCGTGTATTCAGCGATTTGAAGACGCTCCACGTCGTGATTAGTCATAACGTATTCACAGGGCACGAGCTGGAATTGAGTGATTGGGTCCAAGTTGCACGTGGTGGTCGGAGTTCTCCTGCCCTAAGCCGGAAGTGCTCGGTTGTGAGAGTGAAAGGGATCAAGGAAGACGATCACAGGCATTGGACATTTTGAACCCTTGCTCCAGACGTCTTATCGTCATCCGGCCCTTGGCCAACCGCCCAAACACAATATTCATTTTTGCCCTTGATAGCGTAAACACCCACGTTTCGTTTTCCCAGTTGGGGGAAGCACTCCGTTGTCTACTCCATGCTGGAGCCTGCGTAGGCAACACGGTCAACACAGTGAACTCTAAACCCGAAGGCTCCTAATTGATCACCTTTGGTGACCCAGATAGAGGAAGAAAATGCGCACGATCGCACAATATCCACACACAGTACAATGATACAATCAAGTCACAAGAGAACTGTGTTCCCGACTAAAACCCCAGGCACTCGTGCATCTTGACCATCATGTATGAACGAACACACAACGCTTCTTGTACTCCAAAACATTTCGCATACAATGAATGGTCGAAATCCCACAGTAAAGTCACGAAAAACCGCCGACAAATCACCTTCAAAACCACCTCCGAGTGAGGATATACACGCTGAATCTGCCGACCAAAAATATACTCCGGAGTATATATGTATCGGACTCAGACATGATAAAGGGAGACGAAAAAACTTCAGTTGGCACGACTCAAGCTAGTCTATGCAGGAAGCCTGCGGGTGGTCTCTTTCCATTCCCCATCACTTCAACGCCACCGAAGAGCCATTCTTCGTACAAGTCAGAGCTCGTTTTGACTTCCATGTATGAACCCACAACACCACTTGCGGTAGACACCAACTGTTCTTCTATCTAATAATATGAACAACGCCACATACAAATCATCTCCAATAAAGTTGCCGAAATCAAAGTTTCGAACAAAACAATCACAATCGCTCCGTCGACCAGGCTCATTTGAACATACATTTGATGACTGGGTCGAAATGTAACACACCAGAGCACCCTAACACAGGGCCCATCGACACAACAACATCGATTCGCATGCACGAACCCTAAACAGCCCACGGGTAGCCATTTACCCTCTAATGTACGGTGAGTGGTCGTAAAAAATGTCCCTCATGAAGTAAATTGAATCCATTGACCAAAAACAGACCACGAGAAACGCAAAAACCTCCGTCTCTCTCTCTCTACCCCATGACCGGAACAAATGATTGAGTGGGCGATACTATCGTAACACATACATGTCGTCGATGTTTTTGCTAAATTGGCTGTGACAACAACCAACAGTCGAAACGCGGAAGAAGAGCGCACACGACTACCGCGAGGACGAGGGCAGAAGGTGGTTTCCGGGACCACGCGATGCGCGAAACTAGGGAAACGGCCACCGTTTACTCCTCGTTCAGCTTCGCGCGCGTCCTCTCCCTCTTGTTGTGGGTCTTGTTAGACACGATCTTGCCCGCGAGCAGAGGAGCGATGGCGAAGTGAGGCACCCTGTAGGGCGGCGCTGCGGTGGTCACAGGGATGGTTCCCCCTCCAACGCACCGGTTGAGACTCTGGCCGTTGTGCACGCCCATGATGAGCGCACCCTCCCGGTCGAGGCCAAATGTCGATCGGCCCTTGGTGAGGCCAGGGTGATCGGGGTTGACCTCTGTGTCACAGAGGGGGGCGTCCTTCAGGCTCCCATCCGGCTGCACCAGGAGTCGAAGTTTCGCGGCGAGATCTCTCGTTGGGATGTCGAGGTGGAGCCCGTACCACTTGTCGTTCGCCCCCTCGGCACTGAAGTCTCTCGCGGTGGCCCCGTTGCCGCTGTTGAAGGGCTTTCCGACGGCACCGTAACCGGGACCACTGTTCAAGGCTGATGAACAGGATGGGTAACCGAAGTGAGGTCTGGAGTGACATATTATAGATAGGCTCAATCCAACCACGCTTAAGGCATCGCGTTCTGTTCGATCGACTGTCACATAAGCAAGAAAAAAGTTAAATTGCACGCTTCAACAACAGCAACTACAACAACAACAACAGAAAGAGAACCACAACTTACCCCCGCGGGAGGAGTCTTCAGAGCATGGAGCGGGGATGAGTTGGTTTGCGTCGGGTGAACTATTGTATCATGAAAGGCGGGGGCGGGTCGGAATGGAACGGGCGTAGAGAATGAAAGAACAACAATAACACACAGACAGAAACGCCTGCAACGAACACGACGGGCGGGGGCAATAGGCTCAATCCAACCATGCACCAGCTGCTCGTTCTTAAGGCATCGCATTCTGTTCGATCGACTACTGTCACATAAGCAGAAATACGAAATAAGGTCAAACAGCACGCTTGGCTGCATTATAATCTACTTCGCGAGAAACTTCATTCACAGGGTCCATTGCACGCAACCGTATCAACATGTCAAACGCACAAGGGAGCGGGGGTGCCTTGGTTGCGTTGGGTGCGGGGCACACGAGGGAACAAACGAAAACTACCTGGCATAACAACGATGGGCGGCACGAGCCATCTCCTTCACCTTTCTGGCTGGCGGCCTTGACCCAGTTCCCCGCACTGCCGTCCCACGCCATGGCGTTGTTTGCCTCCGTTGCCTTGCGTGACCCCGTCGTGCGCGGGGCTGTGTCGGACAAGACAAGGCTGTCGGCGAAGGGGTTGTGGGGAGCTCCAATCGGGGGCATCCTGGATTCGGCGCGGTCTACCACCGACTGGCGGGCGCTGTCGCGGTCCACGCGCGTGGTAGCCTGTCCATCGATCCGCGTGGTACGGTAATCCGCCACCAGAGTGAGCGACTCCACGTCCCCTCCCTTGACTCCATGAACAACGCGTACCTGCTCCCCCCTAGCCATGGGCCCCTTCACGATCATCCGCCCGTTCTCCTTGGGGATGTGCCACTCGTCCGGCCCGTATGGCCCAGTCGCAGGCGCGGCTTTTGGCCCAGACATGAGCTTCACGTGAAACTCCGGCGGCTCGTCAGAGGGTCCAGACAGGAGGGTAAACACAACCCGGTCGAGCCCCAGGTCGATGCTGTCCCTGTGGGTAGGCATGCCCGTTCCTACCGGCCGGGCGAAGGCGCGGACCTGGCTCACCTTGTTTGTGAGTCCCTCTGGTGCCGATTGTTCGATGTCCCCAACGAACCCCCCCAGTTCCGGCTTCCCCTTCATCATGGCCACCGACAATCGCTGCTCGGTGGTCTGGGCACCGTCCTGGCCAATGAGTGCGAAAAGAGACTGCTCTTCGACGGGACGATCGGCTTTCGACTGCGCGTACTCCGCAACCAGCTCGTTCAGTTCGTCGCTCATTTGTCGCCCGTCGTACCCTGCTGCGACGCCATGGTTGAGGTCCGTGACGAGCTCCGCGAGGGTAAGCTTCTCTTCCGTGTCGTGGATGATAGGTTTCTTGAGCTTGACCGCCCACGGGTTCCGTCCGCCACACTTGGGTTTCTTGGACGATCTCCCGTTCGCCGCTGGAACCTGTTGTTGTGTGCCAAAAGATATCGATTCTTCATCAGATTTAATTACGTCCAATCAAAGGAATCGCCCGTTCAGCACACTCCCGTCGATCTCCCAACACTAGAAACCACCTCAAAGTTTCAGTACGAGTAAGTTTCATGACCCCCACCTTTCCTGTCACGCAATCGTGCGGATATGCTCGAGCCACACAAAACCTTGCGTTCACCATTTTGGAGAGTGAATGTTCGGAGAGTGTGAGGGGGGGGGGGGGGGTGTAGTAATTCAAATGGAAATCCCTTTCAGGCGTGTTGGAGGATGTGAGCGGGAACATGCGTGCAAATTGGTTTACTCAAAAATATATTCGGCACCCCCCCCCCCAACCCTGAGTTTCGGCCCCCCAGGTAAATGCGGAGTGAGGTGGATACAGAGGGGGGGGGGGGAGGTGAGGCATAAGGTACCCTATTTTTCATTACTTGCCTCCTTGTCCTCCTCCACCTGGTCTGACTGTTCGGAGTCGAAGCTCAGACGGTGCTTCTTCCCCGCTCTCCTGGATGACTGGCGCGGTGTGTGACGTGGGTGAAGGGTTGTCGTAATGGTGGTAGTTCCAAGAAAGGGGGGGATGAGTGTCGACATTAAAAAAAGGGCAAGTCAATCCTGCAGCCGCATTATTGTCACTCTTGTTCGACTGAAATCAGCCTGAACACTGGTGGTGGATTTGGGAAGCCTGTATTTGTTGAATTACAGCAACACCACCACCCGTCAACTCCACTCGTTCGGTGTCTGTAGCCACCCGTGTGACGGCGAAACGAGGTCGGCTCTATACAGCAATTAATGGTATGGTCGAGACCCCTAACGTACTTCCAGCCAAGAGACGAAAAACTGACCTCGCGTTTTCTCCTCCGCCTCGTGTGCGCGGCTGGCGTCGCCGAGGTCGTGATCTCTTCGCTGTCGCAAGGCTGGAGGTGTAGCATACCGGACAGAGTCGAGGAACGATCGCAGGCGGTGGAGAGTGTAGCGAGGGATAAATGAAATGTGCACTTGAGCCACGAACCCGGGCGCTGTGGTTTTGGCGGGGAAAAGAGACGAACTAGCAAACATCCACCCAAGTTCGGCCGAAATCACGTGAAAATGAGGTGGGGCATCGAATACTTCGGACTTGACATTACGAGCGGAGATGAGGAGGCTTTGGACATGGCTGACAAGACGACGAACCACGTCATGCCAGTGCTGTCGGTCGGAAGCAAAGACAACTACCTTTCGGGCGCGTACCCAGAGATAAGCTCGAGGTGCGCCGCGAAGGTCCGGCGTACGCAACAAACGAATGCATCTTGTATGTACGTCGTCACAAACGAAAAGACATGAGGAGGTTAGGAAACGTACTTCAAACGCTCGTACAAACAGACCTTTTTCCATATACCGCATACCAACATGATAACAAAACACCCACCTCATCAGCCGCGTCGAATCCAAGGGCACAGGCGAACTGAATCACTTTGTCTTCCTGGTGGCGCAACTCGTCAGCATCGGCGCGGGACGGGCCCTCGTGCCCTGCTCTGCTGGAATCTCCCTCTATAGCACCGGCGAGCGTTAATACAGCCTCAACCCCGTATCGGAGCAGCGACACGCGCGAATCCACATCGGCGCCCTCCTCGAGCTCGTCCGCGAACCGAAGCAAACGAGCGGCATATTCGATCATGGTTTCTGCAGACACGAGACCGTGGTACCGACCCGAACCCTTCGGCACCTGGCAAGAGCAGCGGGAGTTACTCAAACTAGACCGTGTTCATGTTGTCTACACGTATCATACAAATGCTGAGTAGCAGGAATAGGGTGAAACAGCAGAGCGTCCACACCCAAATGGACGCGGGGACGCGTGGGGAAAAAACTGTCGCTCATGGTTTACGCACAGCGCACAGCCTTGCACACTTCATACGTCACATCGGCCCTCTGGTGCTAATCGGCCCTCTGGATGTGTTGGACGATGGCTGGCGTTCGCAGCGCATGTTATCCTCTGCTACAGCAGTGGATCTGGACAGAGTAGACTAGACTATGTGCGGAGTATGATACAATCAAACCAAAATCTGAACCTAAATTGTGCTTCTGCTGAGCTTGTTCCTTGCAGATCTATCTTCAGAGACAGACACATTGATTTGGTGTGTGTGCGGAGAGAGAGAGAGAGAGAGAGAGACAGAGAGAGAGAGACAGAGAGAGAGAGTGAGAGAGAGAGAGAGAGAACCGATTTAGGCAGCAGTGGCAAAGACTGCTGTATACACGCACGGCTTTCGACTTCGATTTTTCAAGTACATCGAGGAGACGGGTGATCGAAGCATACGCCCTAAATCATCATACATCACTGTGGACCCATCTACAAGTAAGTGCTGTGGCACTAAGAGATCACGACGGCCACGCGTAGCGTCATTGAAGACACCAGCATGCTTTTTTGAACATTTGAAAATTGAAATTGAAAATTCAACACCTGCCGCCGCAGCGAGCAGATGCCCGCCCGCAAGGGAAACGTGTGGTGAAACAACCCCACATACGCGGACTGCGAGGAGTCATCAAGCCAAGGTCTTGCAATCGTCTGCTCACCTGCCGCACTCGTGTCGTGCGTGTGGTGTGGCTATGTTCCAATGAATGTGTTTTCGGCAGCAGTATTCGTTTTCGCGGGGGAGGGGTTCCGCGATGTGTTCTCGGAGATCTCTGCTCTCGGAGATCGACACATACCTGCACCGCCGCGGATCCCGACTACAAGGAAGGAAGATGAAAATCCCTCTGGATTCTTGTCGGTGACTGCCATCTAGTCTCAACCCAATGGACAAAAGAACAGAGCACGGTTCCAGGATACGGCTGTGTGCGGACACAGCCGAAGTTGGAAGCGATACCCAGTGAAGCGTCCTTGATGTGTCGTGTGTTGTGTTTTGCAGTATCATTCGTTAGAGCCAGCGTTTCTTTTTTTAGCATTTCTGACATCTCTGTCGGAAAGTCTGACCGGGGGAACAGTCTACACTACAGCAACCCCGTCACGCTTGGTTGGTTGGTGTGGGTTGACACCAACGGCACATAACGTAGGCAGTGTACTCGGTGATTCCACGGAGTGAGTACGCCTGAGGTCATCCTCCATCAACAGTCATCCAGATTTTGTTTCACCGACCTCAACAATGCTGTTGTGCTGGCATCATCAGTCAGTCATCCACGGCCAAAATTCAAAATTTTGAATTTCGCCAAAAGGCCACTTCTCGACCGTGGGTGACGTCATCGGACGACCAGGGATTTTTTCCCTTTCTTTGGAACGGTCCTCAAAAATTTTGGCCAATCAATTAATTGCGGGCACCTTTTCTCTAACTTTAAAACTGGGGGTATGATGAGGGAGGGGTAGTTCGGTTGTTCGCGCACGGGGGAGTTCTACGAATCAGACATAATACAGATACGGACGCATTCTCACAAGCTGACACAAGCGTTAGGACGAAGCTCGCAGGAGGGGCGGAACGGCCAGGAGGGACACCTCTTCCAACCCACACGAATAAATGTGGATTGAAGCTCGAGAAACATCGACCGAAGAAAAACAAATTGCTTTTAGAGAAGAGACCGGGGATCGTCTATTCTAAAACCAAGTGAATAAACAGAAGTGGGGTCGGAAAAAGTGGGGGTCGTTTTCGAATTTAGGTTCTGAGAATATCGGCGACAGAAACTGAATCCCTATCGGGCTTCAGATTTTTTTTTGTCCCTCCAGAGAGAGCGTCGAACTCACAACTATGCAAGTAGACCGAGTGCAAACAGAAATTCCGCCTGGTGAGCCGTGCTCCTTTTCTTTTCTTCCGTCTGATGATGTACGGGCGGAGGAACAAATGACTCTGATACAGACTCAAGCCTCGCCGTTGCCACAAACACGTCCCGATCCGGGTCCACAGAGATAATTTCAACCCCCTTCGACGAGGAGACGCCGATTCGACCCATGGTAGCTTGGATACCTCCCACACCAAGCTCGATTTTCAATCCATCATGCATGGATACTTGCTTTACCGAAGAACTGAAGTTATCGATGATGTGGCTACCAGCACACACCCGTGCATGCCCCCCATTTTCAAGCAGCTGCCACCTCGGATACGGACACTCCCCATGGTCATGACACTCTATAAGGAATAGGCAGCAGATGGCTGCAATATACATGCGGGGAAAACGCAGAAAAATCCATATGACGACCCCGGCTTGCCGACTTGCACCCAACTACGGTTTTTGCCCTTGAAGGGAGAAACAGGTGAAATACTTCCTGCCATATTATCTTTTTTTTTTTCATTTTCCTCCCTTCATTGGACTCTGTCGTCTGCCCCTTTGGCCCCCATCCTCCACTTCTACTAGCTAGACGACCCAACCGAGGTCACATAGGTCACATAGGAGGGGGGGGTTGGACCCCCTCCTGCGGTTCCTGCCTGAGATATTTTTATCGCGGGAAAGAGTACAGCAATCCACTCCCTCGCGACTTATGAAGTCGATGTAGTTGACTCACAACGAGCTTTGCTGCACGTCGCTTCCAACTAAGACCAGGATTTATTAAGTGAGAAGTCACTTTGCCGGGACTCGAACCCATGACCTGGCCCTTAGTAGGCTGCGAGGGTACCCACTAGACCACCGGGGCGACCATAGTATGCCATGTATACCCCCAACACCGTACTTTCGGCGGGTCTTCGTCGTTCTCGCCACGGTGCAATAAAACAAACATGTCCCCCTCCTTGGAGACACAAACAAATGCAAACTGATTTGTGAGGACGCCACTGGATGCATAACGGGCGCGAGCTACGCTAATCGAACCTTGAAAACAGCAATTTCATGCACAGGCAAAAACACTTGGGGGGGGTTTCACGCCAAGGAAACGGTGCGCGGGCGACCTGCGCCTTTGGTGGGCACGCCCTTGTCCCTCATATCCCAGGCGCCCATGATGCACACGCAGTCTCCCTCAACGACAGTGGAGCACACAGATGTGCGGATGTATTGGGCCTTCCGGAGCGGCAGTTCAATCTGTGAAAGAAAGCATGGTCCGAAAGCTGGGTTACATGACCAATCCGAAGGGAGCGATGTAGTTCGAAGTAATATGCTCAAATCTGACAAACAACGCTCCGTTCGTCCATATTCCGCGGAAAATAGGATTCCAAGCGCCTCCAAAACCAGTGTGCGCATTTCCAACACTGATTTACATCCAGTTCTTCCGGCTGTCTTAAATAGGCCTACCTTTTCCACATCAAACGGATTCTCCGTGATGGTGTTTAGCCCGGCTTTGTCTGCGACCATGGTGAGCACCCATCGCTTCGGCCGGAACACGTTCAGGACGTTGTTGATGATTGATCTGTACGAATGTTGCCGCGCGAAATTGACCTAAAAAATTCGGCAAGATGTTATCCTCTTGATCACGAACCCATGAAATCCGATAACGGCGTTTCGTCATTACGGAGGCGTTTGAGTTTCACTCCCGACCGGTGGCAGGCAACGCAACCGTGAGATCCTCGTTACTATTAACCTGCTGGCAGAAGTGTCAGCCGAACCACCAAAGCTATCGATGATGCAAAAATGAAAGTAAGGGGTCCAGTCATCCAGTCACCGGAATCACAGCCACGGTGGTTGAAATGAGAATCGATAATGGTCAGTACACGTGATATATTTCAAAAGCTGCAACGCTTCTCTACTGTGACTATACAACATGACTGGTAGCAGCACTGGAGGAAAGAAAGACGCACCTGTACGACTTGAAGGGGTTGTTCGTCTCAAAGCTCGCGTAGCTGCAGGATTCCTCCGGAGTGACGTGGATCGTGTAGTACGAGTCGTACAAGATGGCGTTCATTGAATACCTGTGCCGAGAACATCATTGCGGCTGGATGATGAACATACCAATACGCGCAGCAGTACATGTTACAACCTGGCTCCTGTAGAATTCGCTTTCTCAGGAAACCATACATGCGCGGATTACCGAAAATTCTGCACATTATGTCAAATATCCCAGGTATGTCGCGTGTGCAACATAAACAGTCAGGTTGCATGACAACTTGTCAGTCATTCTATAGTCGAGAATATCACACCCGCATGGGTCGAACGCGAAGTCGTCCACAACAGCTCCAGGTACGAGCTCGGCGATCCCAGTTTTCTTTGTCATCTCTCGGCCAGTTGGGCACGCCTCCTTGTAGAAGTGCTTCGCTGTGTCCGGATGCATGTCGAACATCATCATATTTATCTGATGGGGCACAAAAGGGCAGTAAGACAGGGGTCAGCTGACTCTGAGCAAGTAAGCGTGTTGGCTTTCGGCCAGAGCAAGGTCAAATGCAATCACCCTCCTTCTTTGCTACTCAGTTAAGCGTGCTTGACCTTTCTTCCCCAAAACCAAAAAAGACAAATCTAACCACCATATCCGAAAAAAGGACACAAATTGTCTTCCTTTGTGCTATTGTCTCACCGTGCGGTCCGTTGCGGTGTAGTCTGGGCGGTCGCACTTATCTGCGATGTAGACGAACCAGTGGTCCCCAGTCACCGGACCCAAAACATAGCCTGCCGTGACAGATTGGGGCGGGGTGATCCGCAGGGGAAACATCTACGTGAGCGCCTCGGCCTCCAAAATTACATTGTGGTACAGCCACAGGCGTCAGCAATGAAATGTACGGCGTGAACCTCGGCACAGCTGTATGAAGCGCAGACCACAGTATTCCAAAGGGTCTCACGCAACAACGAACGAGGCTTCCACTCTGAACAATAGCAACGGGGGGGGACCAAAACCATGCGCAAGTACAAGCCTTACCCATGAGAAAAAAAACTGAGTTCCGATCCTCTAAATTGATTAAAAAACGAGTGTGCGTACCAAGTTACTACCGCATTTTACGGCGCCAAGGGGAAGGAAGGTCTCAGAAGCAGCCACAAACCACGACAAAGCTGTTTTGATCCACGACTCCCTTCCAAGCATATTGCACCTGCGCCGTTAAGCCGCTTTTCAAGATGTGTGTGCGCCCGTAGATACTGTAGCTCCTGCTCGAAACTGGAGTGGGGAAATAGCTGATCGCTAGGGAAGGTAAAGTTCTTGCGTGAATAACCCATCCACTCCAGCACCAAGCCCTGCTGCTCGAGTGCTGCTTGCAGGAGTGTAGCCACACAACGCAGGAGTGTCGTTGTTCCACACGTCTTCATGACAACCTAGGGCAAAACAGGATGAGAAAAAAAACGGTGTCAATCAGTCGATACACGCCAGCAATACGCGTCCACGACACATACAGCGTCATGGGGGGGGTCAGCGCTAGCTGAACAACGATTGCTGATGAGGTCACGAACTATACGGGGGGACACACATACGGCCGAGTTGCTTTGTGACGCATGCATATGAAGTTGTGCATCACTTGCCTTGTGTGGGTAGACGAAGAGACTGCTCTCCGACAGCACATACGCATCAAGATAGTCGTTGGAGATCTGGTGAAGAATGGTGCACTTTGCGCGTGAGCACATGCGGTCCAAGCTTTGCCTGGTCAATGCTCGGCAGCCTTGCGGGTTTCCGATGCCTGGCTTGAAGCACACCTGCACCAACAAGGAAAGCGGTGTAGCCGTGGCTCTTGAGGTTAATCTGAGGCAACGCGCGAAATAACCACGGTGAGATCAACAATATAGCAAACACGTGAGGATATTCTGTAACGAGGCGCACATCGAAGGGCCCTGCCGTCTAGTCGTCATTGCTTGCCCCGGTGCACTTGGCCTCCCCTCGCCTGTGGAAATAACCGTTGTATTGACGGCATCACACGAACGAGGATCTCAAATGCCGATACGAGAGATGAGTACTTAGTGTATATTTTAGTCGGAAACACCCACGCATCCCGCACCCAACTAACTACTGCTTCCGACGATGAAGCCGGCCAAGGAAAGTACTCCTCAGCCTACACGGATATACTTAGGGGGCGCCAGCAACTCTGCACGCATCGACCGGTATCTCACTTCCAGAGTCTTTTCCGGTCCCTCAAAGCACCCGGTGTATTCTCTCTCTTCTCCATCTCCAGCTTGCGAGTCCACCTGCACCGAAGAAAGACGGAAACGATCGACGCGAAGGCCACGAGGCACGTTGGGGAACACCCTCCCTAGATCCGTTGAGGTGCGGTCTTAATGCCCTCCAGGAAGTAAACAGGGTAACTGCATCTTGCGGAAGGTGTTACTGCAATCGACTGGGGGGGGTTGTATGAAGCTCCTACCTTGGCAACTCACGCACGCGTTATCGCTCGACTATCACAGCATTCAGTCCTCCTGCGCGCTGCTGATACACGCGTAGTTTGGACGCGCTTACTCCAGAACCTTGTTGTAAAAATTCCGTACTAGGCAACAAAAAAGCCCGAATCGAGGTATATAGACAAATCAGCTCTCGAGCGCTGAGAGCGCAGCGGCGGGATTCGCAGTCCACAACCACACTCTCCCCTCAACACTACCCGTTCTTGAGAAAACATGCGCGCACGCTCGAGGTATTCTCCTGCCAAACGTTAATCGTCCGCAGGTGCAGCCCCGGCTCCGAGGCCTAAGTCTATCGAGCAGGAGCAACCCAGCGTAGCATTGCCCAGCCAAGGTTTGTGAAGGACAATTACAACAAAACGCTGATTGCCAACAGCGCGGCTCTTTTCGAGAAAATATAGATATATTTGTGCAACAACCATATCATAGACTATGCAATGGATTGGGCAGGTGTACTTGATTGCCGAACACGCTTTCTTTCGCCGACACCACCGCATCGTCTCGCCATTATCCCTTGGCATGCGGCATACGACCGAAAATACTTGGGTCTTGGGCACAATGGGCCCCAACACGACCGTCTGAGGCCGCGTGGGGTCGATGGCCCCCCGCGGCCGGACTACTTGTAGAAGTATAGTATAGACAACTGCTACGGCTCCCTCGAGCGCTGAGAGCGCAGCGGCGGAATTAGGCCTTTCACTCAGGGCGAGACGTTAGCGACGATTCTTCGGCTTGCCGGGACAGAGGTCCGACGGACGCCTCCTCTTCGGGGTGTCCCCAGGAAAGTCTTTCCACCACCGCCTGCCTGTCGCGGGGCTGAGCCGTCGCGCGCCGCCACGCTACACCGCCGCGAAGTCAGCCCAAATCGGGCGATTCCCCCCTGCCTCCCAGACGGTCTAAGCCGGGCAACCACAGTCCATTGTATGAGCAGGTATGTTCGACACCCGTTTGTATAACGAAAAGTTCGGTCAGGGTAACCGGGTTGTCGGTTGTTGCAAGCAGTGCTATCAGGGTGCAAGAGCACGCTTATACAACAAATAGGTTTGCCAAAACGGCATTACTTTTGTACCATATATTTTTCCAAACATAATTGATGGTTTGAGCAGGTGTAATCGACACCCGTTTGTATTTTCGAAAACTTGAGTCAGGGTAGCCGGGTTGTCGGTTGTCGCAAGCCAGGTTGGAAGAGCACGCTTATACGACAAACAGGTTTGCCAAAAACAGTGCCGTCTGAGGCCGCGGCATAAACCCTTGGCATACGGCACAAGCCAAAAAATTAGGGCTGTGTATCGGTAACGATATGTTCAAAAGTATCGGACCAATATATATCACATCGTAGATCTATCGTGGGGGATGTCGATACTACGATATTCTGGGGGGTTTTTGTGAATGCATAAGGGGCTCCGTGAATCATTTATATAGCACACGGAGCCCCCGTACAGCACCGCACAGCACAGGTGCTGTGTGCGCAGACACTGGCAGACAGGGTACAGCAACAGCAGAGTTAGCACGCCATGAGTGACCAGCCAGCAGCAGGCGACGACGGAGGGTCCGTTACTGTTAGATCTTACCTGCACACCTGGTTGCTGGTTTCAAGTTTTGTCGTCAGCGTCTAGAAGAGTCGGAAACCTAACGAACTTACATTTCTACATTTCTTTTTGGCTGTGGCATGCATTTTACTTGCGAAGATCGGTTAGTACCGGAAGGTCTGCTCGGCGTGAGGCTGGGTTGCATGAGATTGTGAGATTGTGCTGGGTTTGGGTTCTGGGTTTGTTCTGCCTTTTTATTTGCGTACGATGTTTCAATGAAAGTGAGGACGGAGGCTAGAGGAAGGAGGATGGGTTGTGAAACCTGAAACCTACTTTCTCCTTCGTTTTAGCAAGATGTTTCAGAGCAGCTTGTTCATGAATATATTCAGTGTGTACATCAAGGAAATTTCCCCAACAATATTTCTGATTTTCCAGTACAAACTTCATTTTTTTGTGTTTCGCACTCGAGTCCGGCATCATCTGAGAGGCCCAAAATCGCCCAAAAAAATAGCTCTAGTGAAGCCAAATCGCGTAAAAATACGCCTCCGGCGAGGCCCCCTCAGCCGGGGGGGGGCTGAGGGAGGCTCGCTTCGCTCGCCGCTCGCTTCGCCGAAACACGATATATATTATATCGTTTTATGCTACCGATACACAGCCCCACCAAAAATACTTCCGTCTGAGGCAATGGGCCCCCAAAACTCCGTCTCACCGCGGGGACCCTGCCCCCGCGGCAGTATGTTGGAGCCTTTCCCCCGGCACTGCGTGTCAACCTTTCAGGGATCAAATCCCGGAGAATTTCCTGTTTCGTAGCACTTCTGAGTAACTCAAGCTTTTGGTTGTTGGCTTTTGCGGCTTATGTCGATCCTTTCGTATCGTTGATAACTTTCCACCATCTGACCAACCAATGGTAAACGATAGCGCCAAAGCTTGGGTCTCGGCATCATCCCTTGGCATGCGGCACATGCGCTAGAACACTTCCGTTTGAGGCAATGGGCCCCAACACTTCTCCGTCTGAGGTCGCGGGGGGCCGATAGGCCCCCGCGGCCCCGGCGTAATTGTATTGTAACTACAATCTTTCGAAGTCCACTGCTGTTTTACGCCTCGAGGAAACCATCCAGTGAAGAACCATCGTCATCGGAACATAGGTCAACACATGGGGATACCAACAAAACATATACCAGTTTGTAGCCACACCGCAGACAAGTGGCGCCACAATAACTAAAGTGTAAACATTCGGCAACAAAACGACACCCGTGATGCACCAGATCTCGCACAAAACGTGCAAGCATATGTGTATGTATCATTTCGCCTGTTTTTGTGCTTCGGGACATCTTTCGCTGGCGCAAGTCAATCGTTTCTCACGCTTCCTTCTAAGGGGCACGCGGGGGGGTCGTCCGCACAATAACGCGCACGCCCGAGGACCACTGTCCAGCCGTGGCGCGTGTGCTTGACGCCCAAAGTTGAAAAAACTGGCTCTATACCCTGGGGATGTGTTTCGCGCGAAAAAGCCTTCGCAAGAAATACAAATTAATCTGCTTTGCGTCCCCAGAAAAAAATGATGCCTGTGCAACGCACACATGTTCCACAGATCATGGAAACATGAATACGTAAGAGTGAGTAATCAAACGCAGCGGATTACAGCAAACAGTAGGGCCTGCAGCAAAGACGCCACTAGCCAACACGCACACACATGCGAAAAATTACTTTGAGAAAAAAATTCCCCTCACAGGTTGGTTGCACATGACGCAAATTTCAGGCAATTTCTTCAGCAGGTTGTACGCGAAACCAGTAATACCGAACGTCATGACTTTGAGATGTAACGAGCAACGATGCGACCGCGATGACATTGACCATGGCCTCTTGCGTCGCTCCCGGGAGGCAAGCCACCTGTCTCCCGAAAGGCGGGCCTGGTACAATAGATGGCCCCAATTCAATGCCCGATGCATGGGATGGGAGAACGAAAGTCCTTTTGAGAACTGGGGTATGCGTACATGATATGTGTATTCCACGCCAGTGGTATCTCTCTAAACAGGTTACCTACGTCATTTAGGAAGCGGAGGCCATAGTGATGGTTTGGAGATTGGACCAGTTGGCTGATCACATAAATTAGTCAAAAACTCCCTGTCGCTACAACGCATCTGCGCCGTTCGAAAACTCAACAGCAGTTCCAAGTTTGGCAGGGGACGACAGATGCCCTTTTGTTTCTGTTGGCACAGAAACCAACAGTCGCAGAATATTCGAAGTGTGTGTAGCGGACGATATCGGGAACAAAGCAACCCGCCTAATCTGCCGAGATAGCGACCAAAAACACCATCCGGAATAGGTGTTTTGATAATGTTTTGACCTTACGGGGTAAATCGTCAGAAATGAGCCAAGGACCACGAGGCGGTACGCGAGACCAGGTGCTTTACTTTACTGTATCGGGTGCTGTTTTCGCCGTACTGCTGGCTGCGGAACCGGGAGTAACACTTCGGGGAAATTGTTCAAATTTTTCCTCAAACATTTGCACGTGTGCAGCGATGGACAGCGGTGACTTACAGGAAGAAACTTTTATCAGGAAACATGACTACAAACACACAAAGACTCCCATTCGAGATATGGCCACAGTCGAACCGGATGTGTTGAAGTCTTTACAGTAGTGAATGAAGGGAAACTGGCTGTGGGTAATACAAACTCTACATGCATGCCAACAGGGGTTGGGAGGTGCGGTTTACATAGGGGGGACCAAGGGGGACGCAATTTCATTGTTGTTGTTGTTGTCTTCACATTAAACTCGTGTCAGTTGCCGATCCCACAATCTAGCAAAGACGCGGTCCGTGGTCACAAAAATGCTAGAGCCATCAGAAGATCCAAAGAACACGCAAACTATATAGCAAGAAAAGCTACACAAGCCCGAAGAGGTACACCTACATCTTCATGGAGTACCACGTACGCTATGAGAATTCCAGGTTGCTTTGTCAGTAGTAAATAAAAAAATAAACATTTGCAAAGGCGACATCACCTTGGTTAGCACGTCATCTTCTCCTCCGGAATCACTCAAGTCTGACACTGTTGCAGAGCTAGTCTCGGGCGCATCAGAGCTGCTACCTCCAGACCCGCCAGGCTGAGCTTCCCTGTCGGACCCTTGTGCCACCGGTGGTGAAGATGTTGTGACATCGAAAGACATTGCAGAGCTTAAAACGTCCACCACCATCTTCTTCTCAACCCCGCCCTTCCTCTGCTCCTTACTTGCTGCCGGCGATGATGGCTGCTCCCGAGCCCTGTCAGCTTGGTTCAAGGGGCTGGCAACCAAATGGACAAAACTAAGTCCGTATGTGTACGCATTTCAAAGTTATTTACAGCAGCAGTAGTTCAACGGTCGATGGCCAGCAGTAACGTGTTGGAAACAGCAGTGCAAGTGCTACACAACAGTACACATACAGAGTGTGCTCTATAATCATCTGGACGAGGTTGGGTGTTCGCCTGTCGTGTACCTACCTTCATAGTAGTGAGCTACCACGTCAAGCTTTCCTCAACCGCTCACCGCAAACACGCTCAATCCAAAGGCACCAAGGGACATTCCAGCGGCGATGATATCGTCCACCTCTAGCTCGTGTAGGACAGTCAGCGTTAGCATGAACTCTTGAACCGAAACCAGCCGAGGGGTGTGGCCTCCGCGTTAAGCGAGGCAGAGGGAAAGAGGTGTGGCGAAGGTGGGCTAAGTCGGGCGTGGTGTGTCACGCACGCGCGGTTCATGCTCGCTCACCACCCCCCCTCCCATATCTTAGGCGCGGAGCCTCTGCTCGCGTGTTTCGAAGTTGCGGATCAATTTTACGGCAATGTTACCACAGCCGGAGTGCTTCTTCTCCCTAGCTACTTTCGCGTACCCGTCGCAGCTCCCACGGCTCGAGATGGACGAAGATGCCGCATTGTCAGCCCTCCTGACAGCGCTCGATGATCTTCACAATATCAGAAATGAGATGCACACCTGTTTGAAGCAGGCAAGTGCTTGGTGTGCTCTGCGTGCGTCGTTGGGAGAATTTAGTCTGTAACTACCTTCGTCACTTCCTTGCGTATTTCTTGGCCACCGCCGTCGAGCACAGACAATGTAGTACTCTTATAGTACGATGTAATGCAATGTGTAACCCTTATACCTTTTTTGGGTAAGTTAGCCTGTGACCACGGGAATCGACCCCGTCAAGTGTTGACTAACATAGTACAGAGGAATGTACAGGGCAGAGAGAGCGGAACGGTTTAAATAGGCTGATGTGAAGACAACAGCAACAACAACAACAACATGCGGGATCCACACTAGAGCCGTATTTCTTAATCCAAGAGTTTGTGGCCCTATGGAATAGCAAGAGATAATGTGAAATACACGAAAACCCTAGGTTGCATAAGATACCACACCCCTTGGAACCATATCAAAGCTTGATTGTCTCCACGGCGACGAGGATGCACAAATCAAATGATCAAATGATATGACCCCGTTCTCGAAAGCTCTTGACGAGACAATTCCAACGCCGCCATTTTCTATTCATCAGTCGCTGCTTTTGCTGCAGCGCATTCGAGCTTTGAAAAACGGTCTAGGTGGTGTGATAGTGTGGTATCTCATGCGTTGTCATTTTTGCGTTTCTCGCCACCTTTGTGGTGTGGTTTGTGGCGATCGCTTTCAGGGCTTCTTGAATATGGCCAGGGCAAGGAGAAGCATGGGAAGAAATTCCGTGAGTGTGCTGGATACACGGGAGGAATATGCTGCGGAGGTAACGATTGCAATGTGAGCTCGTATGTGATACGTATTCTTACAAGTACATTCGCCCCCTCCTATTAAGTACTGAACGCCCAAATGGGGACACTTTGGGGACACAGCTTTCAAATGTCAATTTACCGCACCGTAGTCGCCCCAGGCTCCGCTGTGTGAAACGCACGTGAGAACCATTTGTCTATCGTTCTTGGGTGAGTGGTACGCTGTGTGAGGCCTCTCCTCGGCCTCTGACTTGCTGTACACAATCTCCTCAAGCCGGGTGTCCCGTAGGTGGTAAAACTGCTGTACATAGCCTGGTACTGTACTGGAAAAAATTGCTGTCTCTGCTTCAGTATGAAAAGTGTCCCTACGTGCTTTGGGGACAGTTTTCATACCGAAACCAATTCACCCTTTGTCTCGGCACTCTCTGATTTCTGTGAAGGAACTGCTGTAGCCCCTTCGACCAATGGCTGACAATCCTTTTGGCGATATTATTTGTTTAGGGAGGGGCTGCGTACTACTCTGTAGGAGGGTGAACATTCAAAACGGTATTCCGGAAATCCATGCAATGCAACTGCTTGGTAAGCATGTGTCGTCCTCGGTGTCTAACAGTCGCTCGCAGGTTACCCTCTCTCGTACTTTTTACGGTACGGTCTAGCTCTCAAGGGTATTGCCTCGTCTACAGGTGGTAGCCTCAATAATCTGTACTGGTAGTTTTGTTTTGCGCTCTTCTCTTCGCTGCAGTTAGGGACCGTAAGAGTGGTAGGTAGAAAGTATGAGCGACGGTTTCTGAATGGGATAAAAATATGAACGTGGACGCCTCTCTTTACTGAAGAGCTCCTATCCGGGTTACGCAGAAGCCTCCACAATGCTACCTTCAATATAAGACTCAGCAAATTTGTGAATCCTTCTCCAGAATCTCAAGATTTTTTTTTGGACTGTGAGACTACATACGCACGTCAACGTCAAACACCATGTCAAGAAGCAAGTACACACGTCAGCATTGTGTGTGAACAGCTGCAGCATCAGCTGCAACCAGTTAAGCAGAAACATGTAGTTTCCAGCAGTCGAGCCATGTCGTGGCGGTGTCAGCAGAGGTGCAGATTAATCAATGCAGACAGTACAGACCGCCAAGCCTCAGGTTGGGACCGACGTTGGCATTGCGGCCTACACATACATCCGCATGCGTGCGGCATGCGAGGATTCAACAAAAAATCCAGAAATAAGTAAACAACCGAGACTACGATTATTGTAATCAACCTAAGCATGAGGCAACAGCGGTATGACACCACGGCTGGCCGATTTTACATAAGATCATCAGGACACTGGTGTGATAGTTAGCTCTCTGGGTGTAGCGATCTTTGGTGTAGAGGCGCAGATATGGGCGAGCTCCAGGTGGAGGGTCGGATGCCCTCAAGAGATCTGCATGTGAGCGAAACAAACAAATTGTTCGCGGGTTGTTCTTGCTGCCAGCTTCCTACAGAAGCATCTTTATCGAAAACAAAAGCTCGCGCCAAGCTCCCAAAAATGGCGCAAACGTAGTCTACCAGTATGCAGACATCTGTTTTCCCTCTGTTTGCTTTTTGCATGTTATTGCATCACCCCTTTGCCGCGGTGCTGTTCTTTTGCCCCAGTCCCGAGGGAGGCCTTGTATCGGTAGATACAAGGGTGTTCCGCGGTTCCATATGCGTCAACTTTATTCACGACCAAGCTCGACTACTGGTACTAACAGCAGAGGAGACATCTCCATCTCGTCGAGACTACGCAACGAACGGATTGTGTACAAGGTTTCGAGGGCGTAAACTAAAGACCATCGGGGGAACCGGGTCCTCCGTTTAACTGGGAAGTCCTACTTGTACACTACTATTTTAGACTGGCTTGTGTAGCGATGGCCTTACGATCAAAATTATGTACAGGATTTAGTCTGGGCTCGTTTTTTGTAGCGCGTTATGAGAAGATATCTGGATCTTGATTTGTATTTTCAGAAATAGCATCCCGTTCGACTGTGGGTATATCTCGAATGGGTAGTCTTTCTGTGTGTGTTTTTATTATTCCTCAATACCCTCTTTTTGGTTTGCGGGTAACCCATGGAAGTTTTTTGTATGCACCAATGGTGCTGGTTAGCAACCAAATGGTTGCCGTGACAGGACAACACCAGGATAACGTGGTTCTCTCTGCCTTTGCCAATACCAAACCAGAGAGGAAGATACTTCAGAAGGACGACTGCAGGAGTCGAGGAGCATGTTCTCGAGAAATAGAGTTGAGCCCGCTGGATCCGCTGTGGTTATCCGTGACGGAAGTCTGAGACAGCGCGGAGGAGGGGGCGCGCATGTGGAAATCGAGGAATCTTTGCTGCAGCCAGATCAAGATGCCCCTGTGCGTGGCGACTCGATGAGCTTGTTCGCTACGTTGGTTCCACCGCCGCTGCGCAAATCCAAGAAGAATTTCACGTCTGGTAAGCGTTTTTTTTTAATTTCCTGATCTTGTCGTGCGCTCGTAGGCGTTTCGGTGCAGTTGGCGTGTTCTTATGGTGTGGTTCTACGGTCATGAACCAAGAACCTGCACTAAACATCGTTCTCGCCACTGCACACTGTGTGTCACCGCGAAAACATATGCATAAGTGGAATTCAATGTAATACCAAATGTGCGCGACGCGCGCTTTCCTCGATCATGGCTGGACATGTTTGCTTACCTCCACCTGAATGCACGATTTTCCCGCCGCAAGTTGCGTAGCGCAATATTTTCAAACATTTGCTTCTTTTGAACTGCCAGTTTGGCCTTATTTGTGTCCTCTGCTTCAACCCGATATATCTGCCTCAATGCAGTCGTGGACTACGCTGTGGAGGCGTCAAATCTTGCACATCGCATCATCCATCTACAGAAGATGTTGGAAGCGAAAGGACAGATGCCAAAGGACCCAAAATGACACTGGAAAAAGTATAAAGTTGAAAGTCAGACCTTATCGGTATGGTCACTTTTTGTGCCAATTGATGAGAGACAGTCTAGGACAGCGGTGGCAAAGGCCGTTGACCAAGTGAGAGCCGCTGCGAGCAACACGTTCAGAGGAGTTGGCTCGTGGGCACATCAACTCTGACCAGCTTCGGTTGTGAGACTTAATTGTTGAGGGGCAAAAGTGATTTGTGTTGTTTTTGTGCCGAACCCAGCTGAGAACGACGAATAAGGTGTTTCGACACGTGATGCATACCATGTATAGTCTGCGCGTGTTCAGAAGGAGTCATGTGTAACATGCTCCACCTACCACGACCCCAAAGCTGGCCACCCTCGTTGAGTGCGAGGATCATGGCTGCGTGAATATTAGCAAATTGACATTCCTTTTGCGAGTAAACTTTACATAGACATGTGCGCGGTTCTCCTCAGGCAACTGGTGTACTCGTTGGGAATCTTCGCACTCTCGAAAACGGTGTGTGGCCGCGGTGGGGTCGTTGGCGCGCCGTGGATGTTATGGGGCAAAGGAGTAGTCGTCAGTTGGGGTGATCATCGTGGAGCGAGGAAAACGAGAACGACAAAAAAGAGAGCTCGATGCCTTCATCGCGTGTCGTCCACACAATCTCTCTCATCGTTCGTACTTGCACTGCAACTGCATACACCGAGAGGCATGCTGCGACCGCAACTTGGAAATCCTGCAACGACAACCGAACCAAAGACGCTTGAACACAAGTGCCTGCACTGACAAGCTCGAGCCTGTTAGCAGAGAAGAGGCAGAACCCAGTTCTCCCCACAGATCGAGGAAAGAACGACAAAGCGCACACACCGTCACTACGAAGATGTACGGGCAAGGAGCGCAGCCTCGGTCAAACTATGCACTGCATACTCTCACCACCGCTGTGCTGTTTTTTTTTAACAAAGGCAGATGCACAACGTTACTGCAGGAGCAGTCGCAGAGCTTGCACGACATCACCGTCCCTCTTCAATAACGCGGCCTTCGCTTCCTCGGTAGACACTTCCAATTCCTCTTTCAACACTTCAATGTCTGCAGCAGAGATCTTCAGAGTTGATTCCGTGCTTGGCTCGGCGCTGTACACGAAAAGAAAGAAAAAACGAATACGCAGCAGCAAGTAAATGATCGTGGCGAGGTGGATGTTACGTAGTTGCCGAATTTCAGCACACTATACCGCTGCAAAGAGATGTTCACCAGGGCTTTGAGCACTTGATTCATTTTTGCTGAACGGACACTTCAGGTTGGACAAAGCCGCCGCAGGGCTCTCACTGGGGGGACAGACCTTTGACGCGCACCACTGAGAATTCAACATTTTGGAAATATGCATCACCCGAGAAATTTCCCGGACGTTCGAGCGTTATACGAGGCCCTGATTCTAGCCAAGACTTCCTTTCCAAACAGAGAGCACAGCGGATGTATCTGGATGTGTAGATATAGAAACACGTTTGAGCAACACGTGTGCGCGCGTACTTGCCGTCTCTTGTCCCCTTGTCCAACCCCAGTTTCCTCTTTTTCGGCACGAGGATCGCCGTGTTTGGGGCTTCTCAGCAGTCCATTCCATTCCCCAGACTTTCAATTTCATTTCGTACGGCTTTTTCAACGAAAAACGACATGAGTCCCGACTTCCACTAACGTGCCTAGCCTGCGCTACCGTAGCGCTTGAAACGTGCCAGTCGCGCCCATGAGCACCGATTGACGCCATTTCGAAGGGTGAAGGGAACCTCAGTTTTATCGTACCTCGTTCCGTCCCAATCATGAGAGTCGAATGTTCATACGGTCCAGCGTACCTACATAATCAATGTGACCACGGTTTGATAGCGCTTGTTCGTGCGGATACAGATTGCGACTTGGTTATTTAGGTCACAGGAAAAGCGGATTGCCGAACGCTTCTTTCTCTATGACAAAAAAAAGCAAAGACATGCACGTGCACACAGCGTTATCTTTGTGTACCCCGCTCAGCTCCTCAGAAGGGGAAGCCCTCCCGGCAGGGAAGGATACTGTGTTGACCTTTAAACTCATACGTAGACCATTCGACGGCACAACGGTATGATGGGAGGCATAGTGCTCCAGTATTTTTAGAAAGTAAACAATCTCACAGAAAGACTCGTCTACCCGTTCGAGATATAAACCCAGTCGAAAGAGATGTGGTGCAGTCTTTCAGTGAGTGGAGGGAAACCAGTATTCTTTCGAGTCATCATATCTGCTTCGGAGCGCTGGCCGGCGTGTGTGACAGCAGTGCCGCAACCCCCACAGTCGTATGCCTCGATATTTTCTCCACGACAAGCGTCGGATGTGCCCCGCCAACAACAACATGCCCCCCGACAGCAGTTGAGTAAGTTCACGCAGCAGTGACCGCACCACATCACAACGAACAAGTTGCTTGGCATTTTTTTTTTTTTTGTCTTGACTTCAAATCAGCGCTCACAGCACTAGTAGTGCCGTTTACTCCGACACGTCGTCACACAGAGGGTCCCCTCTCTACCCTCCCCTCCTGCGGTACTTTGCCTTCGATTTTTAATGCGAGAAGAGTTTAGCACTCTCTTCCCTCTGTGTACACACGAACTAGCGCTATCCACTAGGCCAGGAGCGGAAGCGAGAGAAAAACTCTCTTTGAAAGAAAAGCTCGCTTACGCGCCGGGATTCGAACCCTAACCTGACCTCTAGAAGGTTTCGAGGACACCAACTAGACCACCGGGGCAAACCGGCAGGTTAGCATGCATTGGGTCGAATGCTTGATGAAATTCAGTTGCATATTTTGAATTTTGGTGTCGGGAAGACCTTTAAAACTGTGGTACTTTAAGTACATGACAATTTATCACACCCTTTCTACAATGTATGTAGTCTAGCTGTTCCAAACCCTACTTCAGAAGTACTCACTGCTGCTTCATGGTGTACAGCAGTACCTCTACTTCATGTATGTAACTGCTGTAGGTCGAATCTATGTAGCACACGATATGTTGGTACAATATTTGATTTTCGTATTCGAAAGCGCCAACTAATAAAAGCTACCAGGTATGATATGGTACTCTACAGCAGTAGTAGGATTTTTTTTTTAGGATTACCTCGCGGGTATCAATGTCGGTGAGGAGTTGTTGGCCAGGCTGGACAGAGCATTGGCTGTGTCGTTCTCGTTGAGCTCCTTCTCTGCGTGGTAATCTGTCACTTTCTCCAAACCTGCATTGGCCTCTTCTGCTTCTGCCATGGCTACACGCGCACACCCGGAACGGATCGTCAGTCCAACACAGCAGTATATAGTCTTCACTGCGCCATGATAAGATGCACACCAGATGCACCACCACACACTCCTGACCCATTTTAAAGTGCAGGTATGCATGTGTGCCGGGAGAGAAGCATTTTGCGGAGCCCCAGAGCGGAACTTGAAAAGATCGGCGTTTTGCTGTGTGCAGCACAGCAGTACAGCGGCGATGCGACACCACACAACCTTTGGGTGCTGGTGGTCAGCGGCTTGGGAACCTGGGCACGCGTGACTTAACTGACAGTTACTCAGAGAACGTTGCTCAAACTGGAGAAGAAAAATATCGCTGATCGGCGGTTATGGATCCTTCCACCCAACCTGCCGGCGGTGCAGGGGGACATGGAGTTGCGGGAGATAGCATCGTGCTCGAGGAGGAGATCGATCAAAACTACGTACCTAGTGAGGTAAAGTGAAAGCGTGAGGTACAGAAGTTGCCCTGGTTCTGATCGGTTGTAGCGTAGAACAACAGTACCTCGAGGTAGATTATGTCATGCACAATCATCATGGCCGTTGTACAAAATGCATATCCTGGTTCATGAGTCCCGTTCTACTATTTGTACTAGAACTAGTAGATGTTATCATACAGTCTACAGGAGTACGCCGTTAGCCCTTTATGGTCCCGAAACGTTGGTTCAATTCATATGTGTACCTTTTAGATATTATGGCACCACAAACTTACAGCACCACGCGCAGATACTCATGCCAAAATATGTTACTGCAATTAGTTCCCAGATTCGCACTGCCTTGTGCATAGACTACTCTGGAGTATTAAATATATGTGCGATTCGTATTTTGGACAATGATGTCGGTACGCACACTCCCCGTCACGGTCACGGAGTGCTGTAGTTGTTGTACCAGGTATGCATCACTGGATAGGCGTGGGGGACTTGGGTAAAACGGCCTTTGACCATGATCACGTGGTTGATTTGATCCACGACGAATTGGAATGTTGATGTTTGTCGAGCCATCCAAGCACAGAGCACGAAAAGCTCGGAAAAAGAATGTGCTCGTTGTGTGTCGAAAGGTACAGTAGTGACACACACACCATGCGTTTCCCGTAGTAACCCTGTTGTTGTGAGTGTTGATGAAGAAGTGGCACCACCATCGCCATCACGGGTGTCGAGAATCGCACGCAGAGGTGCTTCTTGCTACCGGAGCTCGTGTTGTTTGTGTTCGTGGCCAGGCGTTTTGTCCAAGTGTCTTTTCGCGCTCTAAACACTGTAAGCAATGTCATTCGTTGGGGTGTCAGGGTTGAATGCGTATAGTGAAATACCTCGTATAGTCTAGAATGAGAGAATCAGAGGTTTTTTTCCCGCACTTTTTTCCCAGATGCCCTGCGTGCAAGTGTCGGCGATGTGCGCATAGCGGGACAAGGACAGTTGTCTTCTGCACTTTGAGGTCCCACGATCTGGGGAGCGCCTGAAGCACCAAAATGGTTGTCAAGACTAGACTATGTGCATGACCAGTTTTACATACGTAAGGGAGACACATGACATATGGTACCTGTTGGTACGCGAGGTGGGAACTCGTAGAAATCGATTTCAGATTGCGGCATCACCACGGGGTAATAGTAAGAGGTCTCTCTACAATCACCCTTTACCTTTATGTCTCTTTGTCATCCCTTTTCTACAATATCGGTTGCTCGAAGCTGATCTGCGTTATGGTCTACCCTCCCTGTTGGGTGTACTCAGCACTAGATACGGATCTATGGAGACCTAGGGGGTCTTGTGTATCACGTTGTTGGCATGTGTTTCTGGAAGGGCGGAGCCCCTTCCAGTACGCATGGGCAGGCTTGCCCTGTTCACTCTTTAAACTCGTTAATGCAGAGGTCTTGAGTCAAACTTATCTCCACAACCTCTGACGATAAGCACCCGCTACCCAACACTCTCTAACTGAAGAGCTCCGATTTTTTTGATCACACAACAAAACTCATCTGCAGTGCAGCAGAAAACGGAAAGATCGTTGCGTGGGAGTAATTGACTGTACAGCTATTGGTCAAAGTTGACCCACGCGCTGTTGAGGTAGGGTGTGCGAACGAGCGTCAACAAGCCCGAGCCCAGAGATAGCTGTTGGCCTCAAATCTACTGGTTGCACGTACGCACACCACAACGCCCACAGCAAACGGACAGAATCAGGTGAGCATGCTCGTTCTCTCTCTCAGTCGCTGCTGGTGATGTGGGCTGGCGGGCGTTGCGTGCTTGAGTTGCCACAAAGAATACCCCGCCACAATAAGGTTATGCTGTCCGGACACGAAAAAACTCTCGTACCCAGCATCGAAACGGGGCCTTCCCTCTTTTTATGACGCCAAAGGTCAGAGGACTGGTTTCTTCCGTTGTCATGGGCAACGAAACCTTTTGCTCCTTTCCTTTAGGGTCTGCGTGGTTTTGCGATGTCTTCCGTTGGGGTATCGATCGAAAAATAACGCGAATGCAACTTCTCCCCCAAATTACGAGGAGGTTGTTAATTGTAGCAGAATGTATATCAATGGGTGAGCTTGCCGCTCATGAGCTCGCTGTCGCGTTGCTGCTGGTCCGACTCAGGGATGAGCCGCTACGTCAGTTAATTCAAGCCACAGCAGTAAAGCGTGGAGCGCCTTGCGACAGCTGTGCGGGAAGTTCAATGCAATTGCCGCGTTGGTTTGAGCTACCCCCATGCGGCGGTCGTACAGTTAACCATGCCAGGGAGTATACGTAGACAACCCTCGAGTCCAGCATACGACTTTTCCAGGGGCCGCCTGTGACCCCGCTCATCTGCAGTCTGTGTGAGGAGGGCAACGATGATAAAAGTGGTGCATCTGGGGCTTGTCGAAAGCAGAACTTGGCACAGGGTGTAGGAAACCAATCCCCTCGCGCAGGAAAAGTTTTGGTAAGAAAACCGTCTTCTTGCTTGCTAAGGGCGCTGACACACATTTCGCGACCCTCGATTTACGGTCATGCCAGGACGAGGTACGCGAGTATGCGAAATGGCTTGGGATGGAGCTGCAGGATGATCTCGACCTGTTCTGGATTGCTAAAGAGGGTCTCAAAGCACCCCTGCCAGAGAATTGGAAGCCATGCAAGACCGTGGACACTGACGAGATTTACTACTTCAATTTCGCCACGGGTGGGGCACTGTCGTCTTCCAACCACTCAATGTGTAGATTGTGGTAGCTTACACCGTAACTTTGGCGCGATACTCATCAACAACAAGAACGTGACTTGTTAAAACGTGTTTCTTTAGGACATTATCGTATCAGGCACGTTGATTCATGACCGCGATTGCTATCGACCTAATGTAGCAAACCTTTGTTCTCTTGGATTTTGTTCGGATCCGATCTATGTGCGTGTTGCGTGGGTCGATACTGTTTCAGGGGTAAATGTGCAAGAGACAGCTGAAAGAAAGTGAAGGCGGGCTTGCTATTTGAAGTGGTTGAGATCGAAAGGCTAGCTGGTGCACTTCACCCGCTTCCTGCATTACATACCCGGCCGTAGTAGGTGCCATGTCCAACGCCTTCAATTGCGAAGTTTTTTCACGATCTGGGAAGAACGGTTCGACGCGCCTGTCAGCATCAGCTCGAACCTACCGCCTTGCGTTCCATGGTATTGCGCAGGGGAGAGCACATGGGACCATCCATGCGACGAGTACTACCGCAAATTGTACGAAGAAGAGAAGAAGAAGAAAATAACGAAGGACAAGGCCAAACATGACAAGTCCAAACAACAGGTGAATCGAAAAAGGAGTGAGGAATCCATTCAAGGCGGGCGGGTTCCATGCAGCACACACGACACCATATTGTAGAGATCATAGTCAGGTGTTGAAGAGGTTCAATAGAGCTACTCGTAGCTTGCGATTGGACATCTGGTAGAGTGTGCAGGAAAATGTCGCTGTGCCTCCCACAGCGGCAAGCACTCTGTAGAAACGACATCTCCATCTCTTGAGTGACATGTCCTCGCTTTTGTCTCGTTGTGCAGGCTAAGAAGGACGTGAATCAGCTTCTCGGGAGAGAGAAGAAGAAAAAGAATAGACCCACAGGGAAGCGCCCGGCTCATCGTTCTTCTCCTGAACGCGCCCAGGCGAAACCGCTATCAGCATCGTCAGTACTCGACCGTAAACCACTGCCAGGCATCGGCCGGCAGTCGGTGCAAGGTCGCCACACGGTTGATTCCCAGGCATCGGTATCTTCCCCGACACCGTCGGACAAAGCGTTGACCCTGTCTGATAGGTCACCTTCACGAACGCAAACAAGTAGCTTGGTCGGGCACAGACTTTCTCAACACTTGTCGGTATCGGTAGAGAGTGAAGAGGGAATAAGAAAAACCGAAGATGGCGGCAGGAAACCCTCGTCTCTCAGGACTCCAGTTCGATCGGAAGAGGAGAACGCAACTACCCCAGTTCCCACGGCACTAGCTGCCGGTCAGCAATCGGAGCATGAGGCTGCACTCAAGGCAAGCACAGTGTATTTGGCGCTGGTAGTGTTTCCTCGGCGAACCAAATTTTAACGTGCTCATGTGTACGTTCTACCCGTACGATATTGCTCTGCGGCACGTGCCGCAAGTGTTTGCAGTATCGAGACCTTGCCCTCCCCCGCCCAGCCGGTATCACACCGCTATCGAAGTCACCACGATGTCAAGCATTATACACACCGCACAACCATGCCAAGTTCACCAAAGTGTTACTTGTAGGTGATTTCCAACGCCCTCGAGGGGTTTTGCTGCGTGTAAGTTGGCACCACAGAGACATCTGACGCCTACTTCCGTTTTTCCATGCACTCATATTTTTGTTTCATGTTTCGCGTTCTAGGAGCTACGCAGAGAGCATGCTCGGGACCTGGATGCCCTGGAGCAAGCCCACAGCGACACTAAGCGTGAGCATGTGACAGGAGTTCCGATTGAATATGGATGTGTTCCTCATTAAGCAGCCCATCGTTGTCCAGATATAGAGGGCGGCGTCGACGTTCGTTTAATGACTTTTCGTGCCTGCAGGTTTCGAAGAACTGGACGACGACGTGCTCATTTGCCAAACAACAGTGTGTATCAGACCCCCCAGCTATAACTGTTACTCCCAAATAATCTGCACGGGGTTGTATTGAGGGGGTGCAGGATGACATACACCGACCGTACCCGGGTGTTAACCGGCTAGGTCGTTTGGGGGGGTTGTACCGTAGTTGGTATGCGGAACCACGCCCTGGACCGATTTTTAAAACCAGACGATGCAGCGAAAACAGTGACTGTCGAAAATGGCGGAGTTGGAACCGTCTCGTCGAGAGCTTTCCGACAACGCATCACTTGGTATTGGCACCCTCTTCGTCTTGTAGTAGTCGAGCTTTGAAGTTTGATCCATGCCACCTACGGTAAACCCACTTGCCGTGATAGACGGGGAGTGGGGAGGAATATATGATTTGCGGTTGCGATAAGTTTTGTTTGCAGCAGAAGTACTTTGGTCCAATGTTGTGGAGAGCCTTCTCTGTGCCTCCTCCGCCTCCTTCTGCTGGTCTGTTTGCGTGTGGCGAATGTGTGTGATCAGGTCATGGTAGTACCCGGGTGATAACCGGGGGGGGCATGTGCTTGGTACGTGCGTGCCCTCAGGTGGTCTGCGCACCGTACCCCGTATGATGGACCTAGTGGTCGTTTTGGAATTGTAAGAGCTTTTACCCAAAGTTTTCACAAGAGCAAGCCTGGTTTCAGCGGCAGGTATGATATGCATCGCCGTCTATACAAACTATGCACGCCTACAGCAAATACCGCGCGAAACATGTCTGACCCCGCCTCTCTTCTGGTGTCAATCGCTGTCCAGACGAACTTGAGGCCGACCATCGCCGAAACATGGCAACGAAAAGGCGGCAGTGGGCAGCGTCCGCAGAGGCCCAGTCCAAGAAAGCTCGGGATGCGATGACGCACGAGTTACGGGCGATGCGGTCGAATCACTCCCGTGAGATCGACAAGCTGGAGTGCAGTCTGTTGGATGCTAAAGCACGAATGGAGAAAGCTATGAAAGAAACAGAAGAAGCCCGGGAGGCTGCACATGCCAAGAAGGGTGCGCTGGAGTCTACATTCGCTGAGTTGGAGCGACAAGTCGTCAAGGAAAAAGAAAAACTCCAAGAAGCTCGCGAAGCAGCTAAGAAAAATCAGGCTTTGGAAGTTACTCAGCCTGGTGAAGACCTCAGGCGAGAGCTAGCACGGGTTCTTTTAGAGCTGGAAGACGAGCGAAAGCACGTTGCTGAGCTCCAAGGACAAGTAAAGGAGGCAAACAGCGCTATCAGGGACGACTTCAACTGCGCCCAACAGAATTGCGAGGGTGTCGGCACGAAATTGGTTCTCTTAGAACAAAAACTGGCGCTTACTATTCGTGAGAATGAAGGTCTCAGGAAGGAAGCAGCACGAGCGACATCATTGGAAGTTGGCGGTCGATATGGGGAAGTTTCTGCTAACGAGAGTGGGGCAACGAAGCCGGAGCAATTAGAGATTGCTACTCTAAAGCGAGCTCTACACGAGGCCGAAATGAGTTTGTCGGAGCTTCAACGGGATCAAGACCAGTCGATAAAGGTCAGTTTAACGCGTTAATAGTGGTTGCAGAGACTCGATGCTTCTCTGTGTATACCTCCCACCCTCAGGTAAACCACTTTGATTCAATTCATACGTTGCATGCCTTACAACCACAAATACTTTTCCTGGACCCATGCCACCTCCCCCCCCTCAGCCGGCCGAAAGTAGAATGATTTTTTTCTCAAACAAGACAGGCAACACAGGTGAATCGAAGCCTTTTTTGACGTCAGCAGATCAGCAAGATGGTGTCCAAACGATACACAACAAACGTAATCCATCGTGCGGTCGTTGTTGTTCATCGAAAGGCAATATTACTTGATAGACCAAGAACCGGTGCCAATAACATACCTTTACGTACAGCGCGTACCTGTCTGTCTGTCCTGTATGATATAGACTACTGATCCAGACAACTAGTCAACAATATTCTGAACGATACAATTTCTTCCGGAGTACATACAGTATAGGTCTGCGTAAGCAGTTGCTGCCGCCCCGCTCTCTGGCCACGTATCTAGTCTAAGTAAACGGGGGGGGCGTGTGGCCAGCTCGTCTTCTCGCACGTCGAGCCTACACAGTATAATAGATGGGAGACCGTCGTTGTTGATGCAGATCACCTCTCTTTCGTTGTACACATGTGCACCCAACATACTCAAGATGACGCCACGTAATATTGACACTACACCAGGCGTAATGAATCCTGTTTACTCTGGAGTATCATCCATCCATCCCCTGCGGGTCATCTTTTTGCTGATGGGGTTATTCTGCGTGACCGGTCGTTGCGGTGTAGTGCTGGTGTGGCCGAACTACACGTGTGTGCTAATTTGTATTGGTTCAAACACCGGTCTAATCCCTATACAATTCAGAGATATGTACGACTTCGTATATTCTACTACATCGTATATTATTAAAGAATAATTCGTTGGACTATTACCATTCTAAATCATACGAAGTACTATTTAGTTGTATATGTTAGATCCCCTTTCCCCCCTCCCCCTCGGCGAGCCTAAAATGAAAAATATGGAGTGTGGGTCCAGGATATGTTTTTATTTGTGTCCCCTTGTTACAACAACAAATGACGGAGCCACGCCCTTGCTACCCGCAACACATTTCACTACAAACGAAAGGATGCCAAGGATGCTGCGGCTGCTCTGGCGAATGTCCACGAAAAAGCAGCTGCCGTTGAGCGAGACAACCAACGGTTGGTGGCGGAGGTAAGCTCCAAAAGGAAAAGCCGTGCTTGTAGGGAGTGTGCGCCATTGAAAGCCCTGGTCGGGGAGGTAGTTTTGATCTCCATCAACATATATTACGATACGTCCTGTAATGCGATGTAGTGTGACAAGATGAGTACCTGCGCTATCTATCTTGAACTCCTCAGTCAAAGATGAAGGTATCATCTGTATTGTACTGAAAGGGATAGACCTAGGTGTCCAGCTGAAACACATACTGGCAAGACAAAATCTACTAGGTGACGCTCCTCCTGCATGGCCCCGGCTGATTCGCCAGAAATGTAAACGGGGTGTGAAAACTAGCGAGCGCCAGAGGCAGGACGAACACACACGAACACGTTGGGACCACACACACAGACTTCCACTTGTCGAGGACATGGCGACCCCGTTGCCTTTTTTTTACACAAATTCTGAACCATGTGCTCGGATCATTTGTCACGTATGTTGAAAAGCAAATCATCCCCATGTGTACTTTGGCGAGCGCCTCCCAAACCCATATATTCCACGTCCATGAAGGTACAGTACGCCAGGATGATAGATGCTACCACGACCCATTACTACCGTGGGGTTAACATGTTTAGACGCGGGCTTTGCTCGCTCCAGCATACAACGACGGTTGCGACCGCCCGGAATGTTCTGTCCCTTTCAAACATGTGGTTAGCATCTATAATACCCGGCGTCGTTTTCGCAGGTTGCGAAGTGTCGTGTGCAAGTGCAAGGTGCAACTAGTGGCGAGGCTCAGAACCTTGGGGATGAGAACACAATGCGGACGCGGAAGCATGTGGAAGCTCGACAGGGACAGGACACAGGGACGCAAACCTCACTTCCACTTGAACATGATGGGAATACACCCACCAAACAACTGGACACCGAGGGTTTGCGAGCGGATCTCGAGGCCGCAAGACATGAGGCGGCGTGCTTCGCCAGCGACGTGCACAAATCTAAGGAGCTGGAAACTTTAGTTCGTAACGAACTTCACGCGGCGCAGTTGGCTTTCCGAGAGAGCCAACTGAAAGTTGCGGAATTGAACGGCAATCTTGCGACCGCCGATCACGAGAAGAAGCTCAGCGCTGTCACAGCCGAAGAGCTGGGACTGGAAAACGCTCGTCTCAAACGCAACATGGAAGTTGTGCGTTCTGCCTCCGAAGGAGGCGCTTCGCGTCAGGTTGCGGATACTCTTGTGGACGAACTGAAGGAAGTGAGGGTCCAGCTGGCGACTATGACATCAGAGCGGTGCGTCGGAAAACATGATCGAATTTTGTACCATCCTTGATAAGTTAGGTTCTGATTTGGTATCTTCGGCATGATTATGTCAGAATACTCATCGTGGGTTAAATAAATGCCTTTGCCTATACGTACGGTGCAGGGATGGTCTCAACGATGAGGTCGGGGAAATCAAGCAGCAGCTAGTACGTTGTGAAGATGTGCGAAAGGCGGAGCGGGAAATGTTCGACTCGAGCCTCGCCAATCACCAGGTAAAAGAAGCGGTGCAGGTGCGGGTGCATGGCGTGTGTACGTGCGCGTGCTAGCACTTCTTCTGTTGTTTGTATCGACCGCGCTCATGGGCTGGGCGATTGAACCCTTCAGGCACAAACGACTGTGTTGCCTACTTGCCGTCCCCTGCCTCCGGGAGTATCGGATTTACAACATCGAAGTGGTGCCCATTGCCATTTCGACTGATGCAGTTTCAGATACTACTCCACCTGCCCTGGTGTCAAAATGTTTCTTATAATGTTTGAACCCAGTTCGTCATGTCATACAAATAGCGATAGCGCTTGCTGGAAGTGTGCGACGTCCACTAAGTTGACAAGGCTGTAGTTACCACGAGTCCGCCTTCATTGTTGTCTCTGCAACACATGCTATGCGCCGGTCGTGACTGCTTTTCTCGTGCTTCTACAAGTCCGAGCAAGCTGTGATACTCCGTATGAACTCTCCGCACTTTGGTCGGTCCGCACCACTGAATCCGTTCCTGCGATGCATGGCATTTCTGAGGTTCCGCATCCACGTTTGTATCACGAGTGTACAACACAAACAACCCGACCCGAACGAGGGCACCCAGCTTCATCGACAAAACGCCATAAAAGATAGAGATGCGATCATTAGAATCATCCCATAAGTTTGCCGTTCTGTACCACACACTGTTCCCAGCGCTTTTCATGCCCACCGCGGAATTTATGCAGCGTCAGTCCGAGTCTCAGCAAGCGACGGTGAAGAGGCTAGAAGTGGATATGCTGGCAGGACAGCAGAGGGAAGAAGCTTTGCATACCGCCGCAAAGCTATTGCGGGAGAATGTCGCTGCCTCGAAGTTGGAGGTGTGGAGACTTCAGGTGAAGAAAGCTCGGGTGTCTTGTTTAATAATTGCTCACGATATTTGCAACCTGACGTTTGAAGCCTTTCTCACTCTCGCAGGGTGCGTTTCACGCCCGAAGTAACACGTACCATCCGCACTAACCCTGCCACTATATAGTGTAGTCACCCTGTGATATCGCTTCTGTCTCAACTTCTGCAACTTGTGCTAACATTTGTACTACCACTGTAGTGCTTATGCCGCTGTTGCCTGCAATTATCGACGCTTTTACCCACCTTGACTACAATTAGCGGTCTGACAATTTTGGTTTGCTGGTGAGACACGCCCGCTCTTGGAAGAAGACCAACGGAAGGCCACCAATTAAGCTCTTGCTGAACTCGTTTCATGAAACAGGAGAACCTTAGAGAGACCACAGGAGAGGCAGAGCGTGTGGCCTCTGATCTCCTTTGCACGGAACCGGAAACTGCTCAGACGTCCTGCCAGAAAGGCGAGAGCGAAGCGGAGTTGGCGTCTGCCGCCGACTTGGCGACAGCCACAGCAGAAGCACGAGAGATGGCGTCACGTCTGCAACTTGCTGAGGACCAGGTGTGTGTTTGACCTCACTCTAAGTAAGACCATGCGGTGGTTGACTTGGTCCATGTGTTTGCTTGTCAATCCTCCTTGTAACCTCTGGTCGTTGCTTCTACCTGCATGCAGGTGGATCGTCTTCAGGCGAGTGTACAGGAAACGATGACAAAATTGGTGGACTCTCAAGGCATCGCCGCCTCGTTGCAGGTCAGATTCGAATGGGCTACTGTTGTCCAACATGGCCTCTAAGGTAGCCATTATAACGTAACATGGTTTGAGAACGACCCCCAATCCCTACCACGCCACTGGCAGGAAGAACTCGACGAGGCACGTGGATCCGAGAAGGACACCGCGCAACATCTGGATGAGGCACTTTCCAGATTTGCCAAAGCAGAAGAGAACCTAGCAAAAGCTTGTGACGATCGGGTGTCTCTTGAACACGCTTTGAGAGATGCTAAGCGTACAACAGTGACGGACAAGCAGTGTTCTGACCTGGAGCAATCCCTTCGGCGGTCGCAAGGGGACTTGGAAAAGGCAAAGGAAGATCTCGTTTCAAGCAAACAGCAGGCTGCTGATCTGCAACAGAGGTTAACGGATTTGACTGCTGAAGCCAGTAGGGCGATGAAGGAGGCTCGACACAACCGTGAGATGGCGTCCGCACGCCAAAAAGAATTCGTTAGTGTTTCCGAGCGGGAACAGGTGAGAGCCAATATGAGGAGCTGCTGAGCGGTTTTACTAGCCCATTCTTCGGAAACCGAAATTGCAGATATACCATCCTAAGCCAAGACAGAGGGCGGGACCATTTCAATAGCCACGTGGAACCTACGACGCATCGTTCGTAGTAGGAAGTATTGACACAGGTCATGTCCGATGGCCTCAATCTAGGCCTATGTTGGCCATGATTTCCAAATCTTCGGAAAGATTGCGTACTCGGTCAAATTTTTTTCTGGCACGTTTTTTGTTGGGGCGCTCGCTGGTGATTTTCGGTAGAGCTATACTACGGTCTACTATCCATCTTTTCGCGTGTGTAACAGAAGCAAGGCAGGCAGCACGTTGCGAGTCTCTACCAAATTTATGCTGAGCGTTTCTTTCTCCTCAATGTAAATAGAGGGAATCGTTCTCGACAGATGTTGCGGAGATTGTACCCTTTATGAAGAGGACCTCCCTCGTTGAGTCTTCTCGGTCGCAAGGCGAAAAGTCTTCTAGTGGTAACCGGAACCCGACCGGCTGGCGGCGATTCACTTCTTCACAATATTCTGTGCGTGAATACATGGGTAAATCGAAAGCCTGTCTCGTGGTCTATTATTTTCCAAATGCACCTAGCATACTGCTGTTGAGCTGTCCATACCTTTTAGTGCACGCTGACACACGGGGCTCTTCGCTTCCGCTCTGTTGCGCCCAGGGACTTCAAAGAGAGTTGCTTGAAGCGCGTACCAGCCTGCACACACGCGAGAGGGATTGCGAACGCCTAACTGTTGCTGCTGAACAAGCGAAGCGTGACCTCGCGAATGCCGACATCGTCTGGCGTGAAGAGACCGGTGGCCTACAGATTGCTCTCGAGGAGGCACTGGCAACTGCTGGCAAAAAGGATGAGAACAACGCGCGTTCAGCAACGCACAAGGAAACATCGCAACGATCTCCAGTTGTGAGTGAAGCACAAGGACTTTCTCCGCCCCGGCCTGGATTTGCCGTCGACGGCGATCCGACCCTGGCAGATGAAGGTCCCCAACGGTCAGCTAGTGGTGCATCCGATGCAACGAGCAAAGGCTTGGCGGACGAGCTGATGCAGATCTTGGAGAACGATGCAAATCAACGGTGTAGTAATGGGCCACCAGCCTTGAGCGAGAAGGTGAGTTAGTATTTTTAGGGTTGAAGTCAATACACGCTCGCCGGCAGACGGATTTAGTACATGGACTTATCTCCTATGTGTCGCTATTTATCATCCATGTCGTGGTGCGCCAGCACCGTTGCACCCAAATTTTCATCCAGCCAACCAATACTGTGTTTCTCGGGTGTGTACAACCAAAAGCAACATCGGATCCACCGGACGAAGAACAACACTCGACACATTTCACATAATTTTTCAGTGACTACTTACGTTGCTCGACAGGTCGTGGTTAGTTCTTGATCCGGTGGCTAGGTAACCTGCACCTTTTTCCACACAATACTCAAGCGATGCATACATCTTGTTTCGCAATGTGACCGCGTGTGTGCCTTATGTCTTGGCCCATTTCTACTGTCTTTGCGGGTGCCCCAAGGCTTCAAGATCATGGAAAAAGAAACTGATGGAAGAGAGGCACATGTTGGCACAAGCGAAACAAGCTGTGAGACATCACAAGGAAAGAGTGAAAAGGCGCCAACAGCGTATTTTGCTCTTCCAAACTCGGTGGCGACAACAATCTGAGTAAGTGCCCCACGCAATCGCTCATGAGAAGTGTAGCGAATGTCCTGGCACATTCGTTGTTACCATTTCAATCTGTGCTCGGTTTGCATGTATACTTATCCATGGCATGTAAGGAAGCTCGGGTTGAAGTGTGTGGATGCGCATTTCTATCTGTTTCTATCATATATGCTTGCGGGTGTGTACCCAGAACGCACTTTCGAGCTGCGCAAGCTTTTCTATATTTTCTCGTTTTCATGGTCTAAATTTGCACCCCATTGGTACAGGTCACTCTCACCGACCAAGGCAAGGCCTCGCCATTCTGCTCGACGCCGCTCATTGGAGGATTCCAAGCGCGAACTCGACAGCGAGGTGCACAAACTGAATCAATTTGTTCAGCAGTTGCGCTCCAGCAAGTGCTGGCTCGACCAACGCGAAAAGAAGGTCTCCGAGTTCGAGACACTCCTGGCAGCTGACTCCTCTGGCTTGGCGTCCAGCCAGGAGCAACATCCATCGAGAGTCGCCACCTCTGGCGAGCAGACATCATCTCCTGAAAGTAGCAACAGCGGCGGCAGCACCCGCAGCAACGCATCACAGTTTCGTTCTCTTGAGGCCATGCAGCAGGTGGGTGTCCGATGGGACGGTTCGTTGATCCTAAATATCCTCGACATGCCTCAGATTCTCCCTTACTTCATGCCTGAATCCACCGAAGCCTACGTAATCTCCTCCCGTCGCCGCTGCCCCCAACTTTAAATCACAGGACCTCGACAATGAATGTTCAGACTTCACTGCGGGTAGTTCCATTGGAGACATCAACCGACCGCGTGCCATGCGTGGAGACAGAAAGCCAACTCGAACTCAATGGCATGCACCAAAACAAGGCAAAGAGAACACTTTGCCAGGGTCTCGGTCGGCATTCCCAATTGGGTACCCGTTCTCCGCATTCCCAGCTTCCTCAGGATTTTGGATTCACCCATCGCACGCGTTCCTCGGAGAGTTTTCGCCACCTCCAGCCGGCATTCCTTCCCGATCCCGGGCGTCACGTCCAAAGCACAACGCCCGTCATCGAGGTCTTGGTCTTGGTAGCGGTTTCCAGATCAATAACTGCAATCAAGACTCAGAACTAGATTTTCAGCGATGGTTGAATCGTCCGGACCTCGACACTCGAGACGAAGTACTCAGCGGCATTGCTGCTCGAGAGAGGAGGGAGCATTTCGCCAAGGTGTCTGTGGAGGGCAAGCAAGCTCAAAGTACCGTGGCTCTTCATGTGGAGTGAGTCAGATCCTTTGGTATGTATCTCATATCCTTATCTGTGTGACCTATCGCGGCTTGTTCGTCCATTAAAGGTAACAAACATTGGCGGTTCAATATAGATGAGATGACAATGCACACAAAGTGGGTGTGTCGGCTGGCGCACGAGTGCAAAGTCGAAGGATATAAATAGTTGTCACATTAATTTCTGTCGGTACTAGAACAAACATCTGATACCTTCTTTCTAACTTTGATCTTCAAAACGCTTGCCCTTCGCGCGCTTCGTTCGATGTTTGCAGCTGGTTGAACAGCCTAAGGGAAGAAATGGGACTTCTTGGCTTCCACTCTGCCAAAAATCCAAGTATTTCAGCTCATGTGGAAGTTTAGCGCCCCCAAGATGTTTGAAGTGACTCCTGGGGTGTGCATTTGTAGAAGGGGTGCGTTCAAGGTTTGGTCGAGTTGCGGGTAGACTTTAGCAGTTCACGCAAAGGTCTTAATACAACATCCATGAAGACAACAAGTGTTGAGCGGCCATGTCTCCTCTGCTGTCTTGTGTATTAAAAGGGGGTTCGTGCTCGGCACTCCCGCTCTGTCTGTTGGCGTTGTCCCATCGCACTTCAACAAAGCAGTCATGGCCGTTGCGGTATCTGTTGGTGTTGGTGGTTCTTGCTGCTGCAGTTGTTGTTGTTGTTGTTGTCCTCATGTAAAACACCCGTCCCCATTTCTGCTAATCATCTTCTTCTATCCTCCGTACCGGTTCAACCGACTGGGTCACTGTCCACTACCTGAGTCGTGCCAGTTACACACGAATCAAAGAGCAAAGTACGAGGACCCATTATGATCAACATCACACACATAATAATAAAAACAAGGTCAGAGACTCAGACAGACCTCGTCGGCGACTTATAGTGTGTCTGGCAAAGGAGAAACTCACGGCCGGTCGCCCCGATAGTCTAGTTGGTATCCTCACAACCTTCTAGTGGTCAGTCAGGGTCAGGGATTCGAATCCCGACCTAAGAGAGCTTTTCTTGCAAAGTAAGTTTTTCTCTCGCTTCTGTTCTTGGCCTGGGTGGAAAGTGTCAGTTCGTGGGTACACAGGGAAGAGAGTGCTGCACTCTTCTCCCATTAAAGATCGAAGGCAAAGTACCGCAGGAGGGGTGGGTAGGGGGCCTCAGGGAAAGGAACCCTTCTGTGTGTCCATGGGTTTGGAGTAAACGGCACAAGTGCTGTGAGCGCTGATATGAAGTCAAGACAAAAAAAAAACACCACTCAGCTCATGATGCCAAACAACAGGCCAACAAGAACAAACCCTCAAGGATCAAGACGATGTAATACCATGATTTTATTAGCTAGGCTTTGTGTTTCGGTGCCGGGCTGACGCCTTCCCAAACATTCACACAAACTAATTGTGGGGGCTCTAGATCAAAACGACAACGGTGGTACGTGTACGCCTGGTTCCAACACAGACAAATACACCCGCCCTCTTTTTCTGTGCAAATTACCCCCCACACACCTATATGCCTGAACATTTCCATGTCAGGTTCTCGCCGGCCAGGCCCACCCTCATCGTACGCAGACACATATATTACGCAAGTGGTGCAATGGCGCAGATCGAGGATAAGTACTAGTTTGAAAGGGACGCATATGGAGGATGTCCTGCGACGTCATCATATTCATACTTTTGCCATCTCCCTCCTCCTGATCAGCCCCCGTCGTACATCGGATCTTTCGTGCTTACTGCTCCTCCCCGCTTGGTTATCGTTTTGGTCATTGTGGTTCCTTTTGCTATTTCGATTGGCTTCAAGTAGTCTTCCTCCTTGCGCCAGGGGATCGTTAACCTCTTTGTTCCCCGTAGCCTCCCCCCCGTGTACTACAGCATCCCCTGCTCCACCTGCTCATAGGATTTAGATGTGTAGACGACAGAACATAGAAGATAATTGTTCCTTCTAGAAGGAGCGGGGGGATGTTACTCCCTGGGGAAGATAAAACAGGGGACAGGATCTTAGTAGCCCCTGCTTGAGCAGAGGATCCTGCCCCTCCCGAATTCAGTTCTACCGATACCCAAGGCAACAGCTACTGCTGCTGCTGTTCCACACAAGTAATAACAAGTGAGTTCTTCTTCACGGGTCTCCCAGATTGCACCACGCATGTGCGTACCTTTACACTGCGCTGCGGGATCCCAGATAACGCAAGGAATTCCGAATGTTCGCTGATCGTCTTTCGTAGATTCATCTGTGTGTGCCTCCGAACGCTTGGAAGTTGTCCCTCAAGCGCTTCAGTCAGTTCTGCTTCGGGCACCCCTTGCCTAGATTTTCCTTCCCCATGAGCTCCCCACACATGACTCGCAACGGGAATCGCGTCGAGAGTCTCTCATCCGGCTTTCTGTGGCCAAGGCTCCTGCCAACAGCAGTCTTCATGGACTCGACTTTCATAATGGTCTGTGCAGAAGGAGATGCAGACTTGGGCCCCGCTGGGGGTGTGGAGTACATCTGGAGACGATGTCACCTGTGGACCTGGCTGGGCTCTGCTGGGCTTGGATCGTAGTATTTCGGTGATGAAATTGTTACCCTGTCCCATCTGGGTGGCCTCTGTACTCGCCACAATATAAGTTTAGGCCTCTTGACCTCTCTCTACCGGGGTTTGGTACCGCGGCCTCTCCCCTTTCACCCTGGGGGCGGCCGTACGTTAGAGATGAGTCTATACAGAGGGCATGTGGATCTCCAGTCCATTTACCCCCCTGTTTCCACAACAACGAATATATACTAGGAGTACGTCTTTCCGTCTCGGTACCGGGGTTTGGTTACACGCCTCCTCCCTTCTTACTGCGGAGGGTATGCGGATTTAAGTGCCACAAACTGAACTATCGGAGGGGGGGGGGGGGGAGCACTCATAGTAGTACATGCCATAGTCGTTAGACCATCGACCTCGCATCCCTACAAAGCCGGGACGGACTACGCCGGGTTCTCACCGAACCAGGCTCTCACATCACAAAGCGCGAAGCGCCGTGAGCTATTCGGCGAGTCGCACGAAGGGTGCGCTGCATCCTGCTAAAGGGTGTTCGGCATCTTGTGCTTACTTCTTTGCGTGCGGATGACAGCTGCGTATGACATTATATATTTTCTGGTGCGCTTCCAGAGACAGTTATAAGCACTGTGTAACTGCCTCGAGGATGCTTGACCATTTTAACACAACGTGGTGCGATCATCCCCCTTGCGCGGAGTGAGGGTTCTCGACCCCGCACAACATGATCTACTCGACCACTATTAATGGTTACCGAAAAAAACAAAAATCAGAGGTAAAACAAAACCCCGGTAACCTGGTTGCCGAGTTCACGAAGTGAATTGGCTTGTTTTACAACGTCGTTGCCAAGCGACGAAAACCCAACCCCGATGGCAAACACCAGGGGGGGGGGGGGGGGTTAGTTTTCTTCCCTAAATGGGACTTC